AATTGAGGAAATCGACAAAATACCCAGGCGGTCGCAGGGTAATTTCCAGGTATACACGGGTTCTCCGCGAAATTCCCGGCATTTTGCCGATTTGGCCTACATGTAAAATTTGGCTGATTTTGGGCCCAAACCAGCCTCAGACTCGGCTCAGAGCCAAAAATTTGACGATTTCCACGCGGTTTTCCCGGGAAAATAGAGAGGAAAAGAGAGGGTGCTGTAGAGAAAATTAGGAAAACAGACGGGGTGCGAGAGGCAAACAAACCGGGTTGAGCCCAATTCACACAGACCTTGCTATTTCCGTTTCTTTCTGAGAGGTGAGGTCTTCATACCTCTCACACAAAGGCACAAACAACCCCGGACCCAAGGTCACGCACCATCAGAAGTTTCACGTTCACTCCAATCGTGAATCGATTCAACGCAGCGTTCCCTGACCGAAACCGACACGCTTGGACTTTGCAATGGTAGGCCGACATTTCACGCACGCAGTCAGCCTCACCTGCGCTGTGGAAAGGGAGGGACTGGAGCACGAGTGCCAAAAGGCGGAGCAGGCCCTCGCCGCGCGGCAGAGCGAGCTTCGCGCCGCACAGGCCCGTCTGCAGGATGAGGAGGCCGAGGCGGCGAGGAGGGGAGAGCCCGACCCGGCGGCACTGCAGAGGGCGGTGTCTGCGATGACGAGGAAAGTGGAGGCGCAGATTGCTGACGCGTCCATCGCTCTCGTGCAGCGGCGTGAGGATCTGAAGCAGCTCATGCAGGGCAAGCGGTGTCAGCTCGCGGCGGCGGTGGGTGGGAACGCGAGGGAATACTACCGATCCAACCACGCGCAGTTGCGAGCGCTACGGAGGGAGCAGACGAGGGCCGCGACCGACGACGGCGACACTCGGGCGGCCAGAAGGAGGGCCGAGGACACCGACCGCTCCATCGCGCAGCTGGCGACGCAACTGCATCAGCTTCGGCGCGCAGTGGCTGACGCGAGAGCTGAGCGTGACTCGCTGCTGCGGCAGCCACGCTGACTGTTGCTCCTCAACGGAGGCCAGCTCGCTCTATCTGTCGAAGAGACAGAGACAGACAGGCTGAGACAGACAGACGAGAGAACGGCGGCGCGGGGGCAGGGGCCGCGGGGGGCAGAGGCACGCGCGCGGGGGGGCAGAGGCAGCACTTGGCAGAGCTAGAGCGGAGAGCGGTTCCAAGTGATCAGTAGTGTACACGTGCAAAAGCTGCCTTCGCCAAAATGATTCAACAATACTACACACACGCTCACCAATAGAGGTACCACGCTTCGCCGCACCGGATCCCAAACCCCTGCATTGTGACGCGCCGCGCGCGCAGGTCCCACGTGGGCCGCCAGCCGCCCCACTCGCCCACCTGCGAGCAGTGGCGAAGGGAGGTTCGGTGTGTCTACCCGCTAGGTGCGTGGGCGAGGGCGGGTCGCGCCTGGTGAATGATCAGGCCCGAGTGTACCACGAGCCGGCCCACCTTGTACACCTCTCGCCGCATCACGGCGCACGTGTCGGCGCACCACGCCCACTCGTCCCCTACGTGGTCCGCGCAGCCCTGCCTCTTGCTGCGGAAGGCGACGTAGTTGAGGCCCGCCTCGCCCTGGTCCGAGGGCGGCAGCGCCAGCGGCAGCGTGAAGGAGATGCGGGACCTGCTCTCGCACTCGGCCAGCCAGGGGAGCTGCTCGCTCAGCCCGCCCGTCCCGTTGGCCGTCATGCTGTTCCACTCGTCGTCGACGTGCCTGGCAGCCATGCTCCCGATCCACTCATCACTCAGCCCACCGCCATGCTGCTCCACTCAACATGACTGGGAACGAATCTCGGCTCATCTCGGCCAACCTCGGCCAACTCTGCCGTCTCGGCTGTTCTCGGCTAATCTCGCGCATGTTGAAGACGGGGAACTGCCACGCTGCGTGCGAGTAGATGTAGTGGAAGCCCGGCAGGGAGAGGCCGGGGGCGAAGCGGACTGGCCCGTCCCTCAGCGACTGCTCCAGGATGTCCCGCACGTCCTCGAGCAGCCCTCCAAAGGCGGCCTTCAGGTATTCCCGCTCCGTCTCCATCGCCCGCTCGTAGGAGGTGCGAGAGGTGAGCGGCGGCGCGCCGCCCGTCTTGTTCTTGTGGTACGCCCAGTACGGCCCCACCGTGAAGAAGGGCAGCGGCCCCGCCGTATCTGAAATGTGGATGAGTCTGTCCGCCGGGACGGACGCCACGATCGCGGCTGCCTCTTCGGGCGTGAGAACCTGCCGGCGGAACATCTCGCTCTTCGCCCACGGCGAAGAGCCGTTCGCCTGCGGACGAGCCGGAGGGCAGGTCCAGGTCGGTCCTCTCGGACTCTCAGACGCTTCGCAGAAGTGTCTCTCGGAAGCACCGTGTACGAGTAGGATTGCCGGCAGAGCCGCTCGGTCAGCTGAGGAATAAGGCGGCGCTTGGCGATCGCAAAGAGCTGGTGCGTGGCGAGCGCGAGAATAACTGGGCTGGCGGCGGCGCAGCCACGAGCGCGGCGGCCGCCTGGGAACGTGCGGCGGATGCGTCATCAGTGCGTCCACGGTATAAGGTGGCCGCTGCTCCTTGGGCGCAGCGATGAGAAGCGGCAGAGCACACTGTTTTAGTGTGTCGCGGCGTCTCGGAGGCGCCTCTCACCTATTGCGACGGCCCTCAGCCATACGAGCAGCAGCGCGACGACGAGGAGCGGGACGGCGACGGTGGCGGGTGTGAGCTGCGTATAGCCAAAGTAGGGAACGAGGAGGAAGCGGACGCCCCCGGAGGCGTTCAGGAAATGCATGAAGAAGTCAGCACTGGGTCCCAGGAAGGCGATGCGATGACGGCTTAGGGATCCCTAGTGTGAGCTTACGCACGAAGGCAGATCGCTAGAGTAGGAGCTGACCGACCCTCGCGTCCGGTGTTCACCGACGGCCGGGCGGACCACCCGCCCACGCGCCGCCCACGTGCAACGCGGCGCGCGCAAAACTGCAGCCGCCAGTTCACATAAACGCACAACTCCGGACCCAAGACGCACAAGCACAGACAGTCGAGAAGGGGGAGAGACCGCCAGTTCACAGCCTTGTTATTAAGAAAATACCTCCTATGGCGCTGTGCGCTGGCCTGTGAGAGGTTCACAGCCTTGTTATTGAGAAGAGGTAGGTAGGTAGGTAGAAAGGTGAAGAACAGCCAGGCTCAGAAGAAAATACCTCGGGTACGCCAGTTCACGTACAGTGGGTTGCGGGCATTAAGAAAACAGGATACCGGCACGCCGCCGTTTTCTAAGCCTTTCCACAGCCCTCAACACAAACAAACCCCCCTCTCTCTCAGCCCTCACCCACCCCACGCCGTGGTTTCTTAGCTCCGGCCGTACCATGCGGAATCGACGACCCTATCAAGTGCTCAAGTGTCAAGAGCTCAAGCTCCGGCCGGCACTGAGGGAGGGTGTAGAGGATGTAGAGTGTAGAGCGCTGTAGAGCTGTAGAGATGGAGAGCGCTGTAGAGCTGTAGAGCTCTACATCCGCCGCGGGACGAGGCGGGTGCGTTGTAGAGCGATGTAGAGGCGCTCTACAACGTGAAATCTCTACAACATCAACAAACTCTACCTCATAAGCGGCGAACGAGGCACGGTCGCTCTCCGACATTTTAGGCGTGTTGCACTTGCCAGTGCTGCCCTGGCCTTCTGTCTGCCCGCCCAATGGGTGGCAGGTGCCTCTGCTGCTGTGGTATGCCTCACGGCTGCGACTGGCCGGCGCGCCTCGGCGCGTCAGCTCGGCTCGGCGTAGCGATCGTGGCCAGCGCAACTCGCCTGGACTCAACGCTCAGCCAGGAGCTCCCGCACGCGCTGGCGCGAGTCATGGCGCATGCAACGCGTCTGAATGCTCGCCTCGCCTTGCGCAAATGCGACCGTCCTCGCAGCCGACAGTCCACCGCCTGCTAAATAAGCACAGCGACGAATGCGGCACCGGCGACGCATAGCAGGCTGGTCATGACGCAGTTATAGGGTGTTGTGTGCCGTCAGAGTGGCTCTCTGTGTGTCAGGGATAGTCAGGGCCGTCCATCAGAGCTCCAGTAAGCTCGGAGACACCCCATTAGTGCGACTCGACCTCTTTGAGTCACTGCCTTCCCGGGCGGTTTGGCTGTAGAGCCTCTACAACAAACTCTACAACAAAATCGCGCTCTACATCGCTCTACAACGCACCCGCCTCGTCCCGCGGCGGATGTAGAGCTCTACAGCTCTACAGCGCTCCAGAGCGCTCTACATCTCTACAGCTCTACAGCGCTCTACACTCTACATCCTCTACACACCCTCCCTCAGGGCCGGCACTCAAGCAGAGCCGGCCCGAAGGATTTTTAGGTAAGTAAGAGGTAAGCTGCGGTCCGCGAGGGCGATGCCAGAGTCTGCCGCCGAGTCGGCTCTCTGGATGACGGGAAGACGCACACAAGGTCACAAGCCTCCATCCACTCGCACTCCACTCAGAACACCGCAGACTTGGAAAGTGACAAGTGCGCGCGCCGCAGGCGAGGAGAAATTTGCGGGGCTCCAGTTCACACTCGTGTCTGGCTGGCCTTTTCTCGGGGCCGCGCCTGCGGCGCGCTGTGGTTTCTTAGATTTTCGCGGAAATCGCTTGGTAGGGGTTCTTACTGGTACGTTTTCTTAATGCCCAAACACGTGTGAGTGTTAGAGTTGTTTGGTATTGCTAAAAATCTCTCTCTAATGCCCGCAACCCACTGTAAACGCACATCCCCGGGCCCCGAAATCGCACAGTGATGACAGTGACATGCAACACGGGGTCCGCCAGTTCACAGATAGGTTGATAAGAAACAACGCTTTTCGCAGACTCCCTTGTTATTGAGAAGGAAATACCTCCTATGGCCAGCAAATGTGTTTCTTCCTTTCACTTGGAAAGAGCTCTAACGATCTCTAACGGCCCGCTGCCGGTGCTCTCGCCGCGCTGCCGCAGTGCGCTCGCTCGCCGGCAGGAGTGACGACGGAGCAGTCGGCAGGCTACACTACTCAGCGAGAGCATGAGCGGCGAGTGGCTGCTGCGCCTCGACTCGAGCCTCTCCCCGCGGCCGACTCGGCCGGCCACGATCGGGCCGATCGCTGGCGGCAGGTCGCTCGTCGTCGGCCGCGACCCGAGCCGGTGTGACGTCGTTCTCGACTCGGCGGCCTTTCCCGGGCTCATCTCTCGGCAGCATGCTACGATCGTGCTCGAAGAGTCGGGCCCGGTCCTACGAGACTCGTCTCTCAACGGCGTCGGGGTCGACGGAGGCCGCACCGCACGCGGCGAAGCGCAGCACGTCCCGCTGCGGGACGGCTCGACTCTGGTCTTTGGGGTTCGCGGCTCTGCGACAGAGTTCGTCTACCGCGTGGCTCAGCGGCAGACCGAGACAAACCCGCAAGCCACGGCTATAGCACCAGAGGGGAGTGAGGAGATCCACACACTCGACACACTGGGTGGCAGCGACGACGACGACAATGGCTGCATCGGTCCGGCGGTAGCTTCCGATGGCGGGGCCCCGCTCGCGTCAGCGGCGGCGCCTGCGGCTGCGCCGGAGGAGCTCATGGTGGAGGAGCTGCAGTGCTGCATCTGCGCAGAGCTGCTCGTGCGGCCGTGCCAGCTCCGCTGCTCGCACTCGTTTTGCTCGCCCTGCATCTACGACTGGGAGCGCCGCTCGCGCACGTGCGTCATCTGCCGCGAGGAGCTCGAGGAGGCGCCTCCGCAGCCCGTCCGGCTGCTCGACGGCCTCACGCAGAAGCTGGCCGCGCGCTGCCTCTCCGCCGAGGAGAAGGAGGAGTGGGAGGGGCGCGCGGCCGATTGGGACGGGCGCGCCTCGCAGGCCCGGCAGGTGTGGGGCACGCTGCCGCCCAAGCCCGCCCCTGCGGGGCCGCCCGTCCATCGGCACGTCGTCTCGAGGGTGGGAAGCGGAGGGGCCGTCTCGACGTGCCGCCGCTGCCTGCGCCCGATCGCCGCGGGCAGCCTCAAGCTCGGCGTGCGGTCGCACATCCCGCTCTTCAACCACACCGTCGTCTCGTGGCACCACACGAGCTGCCTCCCGCTGCCCGCCGCGCTGCTCGCCGACGGCGACCGCTGCGCGACGGAGGCGGACGCCGCCGCGCTCCTCGACGAGCGGCTCGACGGCGCGACGACCGTCCTCGCACCCGAAGAGCGCCGCGCCCTCGCCGCCCAGCTGCTGGCGGACCCGCCCCCCGCCCGCAGCAAGGCGGCGGCGGCGGGGCGGCGCGAGGGCCGCCAGCAGGGCCGGCGAGAGCCAAGCAGGAACGTGGCCCCGCGCAGGCGCTGAGAGATGAAGCAGAACGGACAGAACGCCGTTTTCCCCGGATGCAGGGATGCATGCCCCGTCGTGATGTGTGGAATGGAATAGTGGGTAGAGCTGCGCGCTATTTTTCTCGTTGACCCCGCGCACAGGATTCGGGGAAGGGTGGCTAATGCGCCTAATCGCTAAAGGGCTCTCTGCCCGCAAGCGGCGCCCCCGCGTCGCAGGCAGCCCGCGCGTCGCACAGACCACAGTCCACGCAGTGTCGCAGACCCAGAGCGGACGCGGTACCATTGACAAATCCGCTGGTATTGCTGAAAATAATCTCTCTCTGCAATGTACCCCCCCACACGTGCACACGAGACGAACAAATAGCAAAATCCGAAAGCATGCCGAGATTTTTTTGAAAAGCACTCTCTGTCTTGTATCTTGAATACCGTGGCGAGACTTGGAGCAGTCGGTAACCTCACGAGACTGCGATCTGCGTGATGACCCGAGGAGTACGACTCCGTGCAAGCCTTCAGCTGGTCCCGGTTTACACCAGAACCTCCGCCAAATCCTTCCTTTAACGTTCTCGGGGTGTGGGGAGTACATGACAACTTGTGTGCACGCGTGCAGGCTGAACAACGGGCCTCTCAGAAGGTTCAGACGCCAGACAGCTAGCGGGACAAAAGATTCTCGCCAATCCAGATACACAAACTTGCCCCCTCGCCCCACGCCGCCACGCGGCGTGGTTGGTGCCACCCTCGCCCGAAAATGAACGAAGAGGAACCCGCGCGCCCGAACCCGCTTCTACTTGGGTTTGTCCGCGACACATCGCGGGAAGAGACAGGCCCTTTTCTCGCGCCGGCACGGGGTGCCCATCCCATATCACCCCCGCCGGGGCGTGAGAACCGAGGCCGAGGCTTTCCTCGTATCACAACCTGAGTCTGCACTCGTGCGTCCCCATGGCTCTCCCTGATTTCCCTGAGCTCATCTCGTCGTCTTCTCCGACGCATCGCCACGGTTTACTCCTCGACCGGTCCTACCCAGATCGCGACGGCTCAATCCTTTCCTTGAATCACGAGGAGGTCGATTTCGAGGCGGCCCTAGCGGAGGCGGAGGCGGAGGCGGCTGCGGCAGAGGCCGCGGCGGAGGCTGCTGCAAGGGCCGCCGCTGCCGCCGCCGCCGCGGCTCGTGAGAAGCGAGCCAAGGCGCGCCTGGCTGCCGCAGAAGCCGCCAATTCAAAGGCGCTGCAGATAGCGGCAAATTCAAAGTCGCCGGCAATGTCGGCGGCGCCGACGCCGACGCTGCCGCCTGCACCGGCTGCACCGGCGACGCCGCCGCAGCCGCCTGCACCGGCTGCACCGGCGACGCCGCCGCCACGGGCTGCGACGTCGGACGCACCGCAGGCTCCGGTGCGAGTGCCAGCGCTGCCCGGCGGCTGGGTGATGGAGGCGCAGCGCGTGAGCGTGTGCCGGCTGGAGGAGCTGGCAGAGGCGCACGACGCAACCCAGTGCGGGAGCGAGGAGTGGGTGGCGGCCAAGCACGCGCCGCTGTTTGCGCAGGACAGCGCGCTAATGTTTGGGCACTACGACGCCAAGTTGCGCTGCGACGGCCTCGTCGCCGAGATCCAGCTCACGCCCACGCCCGACCGCTCCTCTTCCCGGCGCTCCACCTCGACCTCCTCGCCCGCGTCGCCCTCCTCGCCCCCGCCGACTCCGGGCTGGGCCGACGACGTCGACGACGACTGGGCCGCCACCAGCGCCTCGCCTCTGGGAGGGGAGTGGAGCCGCGTGCTCCGCGTCTCGGTCTCCTGGCGGCGGTACGAGCTCGTCCTGCTGACGCAGCGGGACGCGTCCGGCTGCGAGCTGGCTCTGACCCGCCCCCGCCGCGTCCGACTCCGCGTGCTCTCTCGTGCCGAGCTGTGGGACTGGGTTCAGCGCTTCCCGCCCACGCTGGTCGACCCGGCGGCATGTGCGGCACTCGCGAAGACAGAGCCGGACGCGTCAAAGGCGCAGAGGCTCCGCCTCGCCGCCGCGTACGTGTCGTCGCGCCCGCCAGCCCTTGACTCCGTCCGGCCCTGCTTTGCCTGAGGCTGAAGCCCGAGCGGCGGTTGGGTAGCCGTCTCTCGTCATGCCCGACACACCCACAAGCATGAACCATGATGCGGCGATACCTTTCTTTTTAGTACGTGTACTTTTCGCTTACTGGGAGCACAGGGTCTCTCCTTTTTGTATGTATGTTTTTTGTTAGGTTAGGTTAGGTAGGAAGGTGAAGAACCCTCGGACTGGACACCAACGCGGTATATGGGTGTCAAGTAACAGAAAAGAAAATAAAAGCAAGCAAAAATTGAAGTAACAGCCAGCAACAGAAAAGAATTTAGACAAAACAACTCTCTCTCACAGCAGACAGGCTCGACACAGGTGCGAACTGGCGCGTGCTAGTACTATCAACAGAAAAGAAAAATAAAACGGCGCGATGGTCGCCGCGGGCGGGCTAGCTCTCGTCGTGCCCTGCTACAACGAGGAGGAGCGGCTCCGCTCCGCTGCGTTTGTCTCGTACCTCGCAGAGACGCCCACGGTGCGGCGCGGCCGCCGCCCGCTTGCCTTGTGAGGCCCGCAACCAGGTCTTTTCTGCCACGCGTGGTAGGTGCGTCTGATCTTCGTGGATGACGGCTCGTCCGACGGCACGGTGCCCCTCCTGCAGAAGCTCGTCGCGGCCGCGGCCGGCGGCGCGGAGCTGCTGCAGCTGCCTCAGAATTGCGGCAAGGCAGAGGCGGTGCGGCGCGGGATGCTGCACGCGCTCGAGAGCGACGCACAGTATGGCGCGGTCGGGTTCTGGGACTCGGACCTCGCCACGCCCCTCTCCGCCGTCGCCGAGCTGCACTCCGTCCTCTGCAGCAACCCAGCCCTGCAGATGGTGCAAGGTGTGCGCGCGCGCTCCGCTCGGCAGTCGGCAGTGAACAGCATCCCTTCAAACGGTGGTGTGAAAAGGCGCGCGCGTCGCCCTCCTCGGTCGGAAGATCCGCCGCTCCCCAAAGAGGCACTACGCCGGCCGCGTCTTTGCGACGCTCGCCTCGCTGGCGCCGGCCCCGGCCTCCGCTCGGCACACCCGTGACACGCGTCTCTTCACAGCAGCTGCCGGTGTGAGCAGGTGCTCGACATGCCGGTGTACGACACGCAGTGCGGCGCAAAGATCTTCCGCACGACTCCGGCACTGCGGCGCCCTGCGGACGGCGCGGAATCACGGCCAACCCGTCACTGATGAGTCGAGTACCTCAGGCGCTGCGCACCGTGCTGACGGCGCCTTTCCTCACGCGATGGGTGCCCTTCAGCGCACGGGGGTGAGGCCTCCTCTTGCACTACGGCCCCACACCGGCCGCACCGGTCTCTAGGTCTTCGACGTCGAGATGATTGCGCGCTTCTCCGCGCTGCACCGCACCTCGACCACCACCTCCTCCACCTCCACCGCCGACGCCAAGAGCGACGCTGCCCCGCCCTCGCCCTCGGCCTCCTTCGAGGCGCCTCCTCTCTCCACACCGCGGCGGGGGCGTCGACTCGGCGCCTCTTCACGCGGGCACGCGTGAGCAGGTCCTGACTGCCGCCGGCCCCGCCGCCGCCACGCCCGCCGCCGCCGCCAGCGGCGAGGCGCTGCTCGGAGGCGGCACCGAGGCGGCAGCCGAGACGCCGTCCTTCGAGCACAGCATCTTCGAGTGCGTTTCGGCCGCCGCCGCCTCCGTGAGGTGACGGCGGCCTCACAGCTCCGCGCCCTGAGCAGGTTCCCGCTGCACGAGTGGGTCGACGTCGCCGGCTCGAAGCTGCGCCTGACCGACGTGGCTCGCATGGCGTACGGGCTCTGCCAGATCTACGCCACCTACTTCCTCCACGAGTGGCCCTCGGGCGAGCCTTGCACCGCCGCCCAGGCGACTCCAAGTCGGCTCGACCTCGGCTAGCACGGCCGGCTAGCACCTCCACCTCGGCTCCACTTCGGCTAGCACCGCCGGCTGCATCTCCCGCCGCTGAGATCGCCCTCTCCTCACCTCGCAGGCGACGGCACGGCGCTTGCTCTTCGCCTGGGGCGCGCTGCTCTGCACCCTGCTCGCCACCCTCGCCGCGCCGCTGTTGTGGTGGCGCCTCCTCTGAGCGCCGCTTCTCTGATGGCGCAGCGCTGTGGCGAGGCCGCACCGCCCGCACCGCCCTTGCGCTTGTCTTTATTTGCCGGCTGTGGCGGCGCCGTTTGTGTTTTGAGCGGCGCGTGAGCATTACACTCGACGGAGTGAGACATATTGAGCCACCTGTCGTGGCAGATGTGATCTCAGATGAGAGAGAGAGACACGCTTGTGTGATATCTGATGTGGCGCGAGATGATGGCGGAGAGATATGATCACGTGTCGAAAAAACAAAACAACGTGAAAGGCCTGGACGCGGCACATGCGCGCGTGCCACCACCGACAAGCGACGACATGGGCGCCCACGGCCACGCCTCTAAGTAAGAGCTAGTTCGAGCACGAGCGAGCCAACGACCCGGCTCGCCCAAGTGTGCTGACTGTGGTCTGCACGGCCGGCCGCGCCCGCCAAGAGAGGGATGGGGAGAGAGGGGGAGCAGCGCATCACTTTGACTCGACGGCCAGTCGCTTGAGATGGTCCATGAACACCTACTCGCGGCCAGAGGTGTGAAGAGGGGCAGCTCGGCGCGGGTCGCGGGAGAGGGCGCGTGAAGACTTGGAACGAGACGTCGTCAGTGAAGAGGAAGTCGGACGAGGCGGCGCCTGCTCACGGGTGCTCACGGGTGTGCGCGTCAAGAGGCGGACTTCACACACCCCGCTCCGGGAAGGAGACGGAGTCGAGCGAGGGGCGGGACCGGGCTGCGACGGGCTGTGCGCGGCTGTGTCTGGGTTGCGTCCCGGCTGCTTCTCGGCGGTGTCTCGGCTGCATGCTCACCCGACTGCGACGAGTTGTGCGTGACCGACGGGTTGAGCTTCGCGAGCAGGAAGCGGGCCTGCGAGCCGTACTGGTCGCACTCGATGTACATCGGCACGGGGAAGCGCTGCTGCAGCAGCTCGGCCGCGTCCTCCTTGGGCGCCGAGAGGAGCTCGCGGAAGTTCTGGTGCTCTGCGGTCTCGTGGTAGCCCTGCTTGCGCCACGCGGAGATCGTCTCGCCGTGGTAGACGATGACGTGGAAGAAGGTGTCGAGCAGCAGGATGCGGTCGGGGGCGATGGAGGTGACGTCGAGCAGCACGGGCACGGGCGGGCCTGTGGCGGCACCGGGCCCGGGGAGGGACTGCTCACGGCCGAGGGGCGCGGCGAGGGGCACACGCGGGCATGGGGGCGGTCGGGCCCCTCGGGCGAATCTGCGTCTCGGCTGCATCTCGGCTGCATCTCGGCTGCATCTCGGCGGCATCTCGGCGGCATCTCGGCGGCATCTCGGCGGCATCTCGCCCTCGAAGGAGTAGGCGAGCAGCGTGGGCTGGATCATGATGAGCGAATTGGTCGTGTTTTCGCGCGCAAAGATGAGGCGGTAGTACGTGGTCTCGTCAGGCGAGTTGCCAAAGACCTAGAGCCGAAGTGGCGTTGAAGTGGAGGCGAAGTGGCGTTGAAGTGGAGCCGAAGTGGCGTTGAAGTGGAGGCGAAGTGGAGGCGGAGTGGAGCCGAGGTGGGACCGAGGTGGAGCCGCGGTGTAGCCGAGGTGGAGGTGCGTGGTCGCTGGGCCTGCAGGAACTGCGAGCGGCGCAAGTGGAACATGAACTGCGGGTAGATGGAGAAAGCGGACGAGAGGCGGAACGAGGCGGGGTCGTCCTTGCGGTAGTCCGCAAACTTGCCAACCAGCCGGATCAGCATGCGGTCGATCCAGCGAAGGATGTCGAACGCCTGAGGAGGTCGGCGCTCCATCCTGAGAGATCCGCCAGCCGGTGCGGGTCGATCCAGCGGAGCAGTGACCGCGCCTCCTCCGTCTGCGTCTTGTGCGAAGCGATGCGCGCCATCAGCACCGCCGCGGCCTCCTGGTCGAAGCCGCGCGCCATCTCGCCCGCCTGCGCCGCCTCGGCCCAAGGCCGCGCCAGCGTGGTGACGCGCAGCCGGTACTGGCCCGACGAGTGCTGGTACGAGGTGAGCAGCTGCAGGTAGCGCTGCCCGCCCGCCTGCTGCTGCTGCTGCCCTCCGCTCTGCGCCGCCATCTCGAAGTAGAGGGCGAGCGTGGTGTCCTCGTCGAGCCCGCCCACGCTCCACGCATTCGTGTTGCCGAGCCCGATCTCCGTCTCGCCTGCTCGAGGCGCAGCGCCGAGATCGCGCCGAGATCGCGCCGAGATCGCGCCGAGATCGCGCCACTCAGCCCCGCCCTCCGCCTCTCCGCGCCGAGAGCCATCTCTCGGCGGTCTCTCGGCGATCTCCCGGCTACGTCTCGCCGACGTTGTTCGACTTTTTGCCGAGCGAAGCGCAGTTGCCGATGGCGCCGCACACCTTGAACTCGTTCGAGGTGAGCACCTCGACCGTGCCTGCTCGCAGCAGCAGCCGGTGTGAAGGCGGCTCACCCGCCGGAGACACAGCCCCGTCTCAGGACCGCCTCCGAAAGCCATCCGCAGCGCCGTGCCCGACGCGTCGCGCGCGAAGACCTGCGAGAGCGACTGCTTGAAGATGTTGCCTAGGCGGGGGGCCAGAGGCAGCTCAGGGAGTGGCAAGAGCAGGCTGCAGCGAGAGCGCTGCTTGAGAGCTCTCGCCGGTGAAGGACTCGGACATGACCGTGTACCCGCCCGTCCGCTCGACCACGGCCCGCATCTCCGCCACGCCGACCTGTCCGCACCGCAACCCCGCTGTGAAGAGAGCGGCTCTCGCCTTGGCGACCTCCGCCGCCCCCCGCCTGGTCGAGCGCGCAGGCGAAGATGTCGAAGACATGCCCAACCTTGGGGTGGGGCGAGCCGTCGTGAGTCAGTCCTCGGCAGGTCACCGCTCACGAGGCGGTCGAGGGCGTGTGGCGGGCATTTTGAGGCGGAGATATGGGGAGACATGGGGAGACATGGGGAGACATGGGGAGATGTGGCGGGCCTTTGAGGCGCGCTGCGCCACTCCGGCGTAGTGCTTGAGCGCCTTCTTCATGTGCTTGACGTTGCCTGCAGGCAGGCTTGAGCGCAGGGTCTGGGAAGGGTCGAGCACGGACCCCGCCCTCGTTCAGAGGTCGACGCTGCCCGTCTCCTTCTCGATGTCGTGGTGCGACCGGATCGGCTCGGCCAGCGGGCAGCCAACCTGCTCACACCCCCCTCCTCACGCCGGCCCCTCACGGACCGCCCGCGCGGCAGGCCGACCCACCGTCTGCCCCGGCCCGATGGTGCACGGTCCGCCCGTGAAGAGCATCACGCGCGCGCCTAGCTCACGGACGGACAGCTGTGAACGGCGGCCGACCTTCGCCGCCGGTGCAGCAGCGCCGCGTCTCGCGCGCCCGTGTTTGGGAAGGCGAGCTCTAGCAACGAGACGGCGATCGACGCGGCGGCGCCGGTGCAGCGCTGCGGCCGCGAATCGGAGGGCACCTGCGCACGAGGCGGCGCGAGGCTTGACTGCCGCGGCTGCTCGAGCAGGCTGCTCGAGCAGGCGGCGCGGGTTGGCGGGTCGTGGCGGACCGGCCACGGGTCTCGCCGCAGCTCGGAGAGGACGTTTGAGATTGCGAACTCCGCCTCCGAGATGGGCAGCAGGAAGCGGGCCGACGCAGAGCGGGCGTCCGCGGGGCCGCCCTGCCCCGCCGCCCTGCCGCCGCGGCCTGCACCTCCCGCGGAGATGCCTGCGCGGCACGGGGTAAGGGTCGGGGTCGGGCACGGGGCCGTGGGGAAGGCGGCGGGCAGGTGTGCGGCGGGGTGCGGCGGGGCGCCCAGCTGCTCGGCGAGCTGGGCCGGGGCCGGGTCCTTAGTCCCCTTGAAGGTGTAGCACCTGCGCAGCAGCGGCGCGCGCGGTGGGAAGAGGACTGGAGGCTGCCGGGTCTGTGCCTGCGACGTGTCGCACTTGGAGCAGTGCTCGAAGCCGAGCTCGTGGACTTGGACGACGGTGCCGAAGGTGATGAGGCCGATGAGCGCCGTCGGCGCCGCGGAGGCTAGCAGCTGCAGCACTTGCTCGAGCGAGTCCTTGAGCGCCTGCGGCTCGCGGCGCTGCGAGGTGGGCGGCGCTGGCTGCCTCTCGGCTGCCTCTCGGCTGCCTCTCGGCTGCCTCTCGGCTGCCTCTCGGCTGTACGTGCCTGCAGCTCTGACTCCTCGAGGCAGGTGTCGACGACCCAGAGGAAGACGGGCGGGCCGGCGGGCGCACGGGGGAGCGCATACTCGATGGTGGTGTACTGCGGGGGAGGGGAGGGGCTGAGGGGCGGAGGGGGGGGGGGGGGGGCTGCGCACACGGGCGCTCCGAGGGCAGCCGGCAGAGAGAGGCGCCACGGTGCCGTCGGATCGGGGGAAGACGGCACACGACCATCTCCCTCCACCCCATCCCGCTGCGAGTGGGAGAGAGTGCAGGCTGCTCACGCACCGCTGGAAGCAAAAGGGACAGACCCAGATCTTGGCCTTGAAGTCGATGCGGCAATACGGGTTGAGCATCGCGGGGCACGTCCCCTTGCACATCACCGGCTCGTACGGCAGCAGCGGGAGGCCCTCAATCGCCTGGTGGTGGCGACGGCAGCGGTGGCGGCGGCACGGGCGGGCGGCGGTGAGAGCGGCGGTGAGGGCGACGGAGACGATGGCAGGCGATGTGGGAAGAGGCCAGCGGCGATCGCGGCGAGCTGGTGGCATTGGCCGGGAGGGAGGAGGTTTCACAGGCGGCCCGCGCCTTCAGCGGTGTGTACAGGCAGCCAAGGGGCACCACGATGCGCGTCGCCTCGAGGCGTGAGCTCGGCCACACGTTCCACGAGAAGCGCACGCCGTCGGTAGCCTCTACGTCGTGGAAGTCGCCCATGGCGGAGCGGAGTTCGCAAGCCCGTGGGCTAGAAGCAGCAGCGCTGGGACAGCTAAGTCTCGGCGAAAGAATTCGAATCCCACGGCGAGAGCAAGGGAGGCAGGTTTGAACGAGTGGGCGGGCAGGCTGTCTGTTTACAGGCGCCGCCCGCCCGCGCGCGCGCCGACCCAACTCCGAGCACGCTCGCTCGCCGCTGGGCGGCGCGCGTCCACACTGCGTCGGCAACACGACGCAGGAGCTCGCTCACTGCTGCTGCGGCGGCGGCAGCGACGGCGACTGCGAGCTGACGGCTGAAGGCTGTACGGCTGTACGGCTGACGGCTGGCGGCTGGCGGCTGCGGCGAACGGCGACGGCTCGGTTCGCGTTCGCCCCGCGACGGTGCGACTGAGCCTGCCGCGCTCGATCTGGGAGCCACTCGGCGCCAGTTCGAGCGGCGGTCGGCTCGGCCACTGCGGGTGCGACGCATGATAGAGCTGCTGGGCGCCGCATCGTGTACTACCGACCCACGCCAAGGCGCGGGGCGGTGGTGCTCGCCGGCGCTCGCGGTGCTTCGGTGCTCGAGCGCGCTCAACATTGTGGTCGTTCAGGGCGGCTCGCACAGCGCCCGCAGGGCGAGGACACGCGCAGGGGCCGCACCTCTAGCGAAGCCCACAGAGTGGGAGACTCCTATCACCGCCCTGCCACCCACGTGAGCCTTTTGGCCGCCTCTGTCAGTGTGCCCGTGGTAGTGAGAGACTGCTGGTGAGAAGCCGGAGGAAGGTCGCTAGTCGAGAGAGATCGCCAGTGGAATAGGGAGTCCACCGTGCTGCGAGCCTGTCGCTGTCCCTTGTCAGGAGCAGGTGAGAACTAGGAGAGCGCAACCAGTAGGAGGCCCGCGCCTGCCCCCGTGCCGCCGGGTGCAACCTGTCCTATACGAGAGAGGAATCCCTGGGACCCTGTCGTGTGGGTGAACCCTGCCCAGCCCCCCTCCGTGTCGCGATGCGCTCCCCGCTCCCGTTCCCCTGTGTCCCTGATCGTCCTTACAAGATCCTGCTCGTGCAGGTGGGGACCCTGTCCTTCTCCCACCCCTCGTTTGGCGTGCCCGTTTTATTTATTGCTCGTATGCCACGTCGCCGCCTGTGTTTGGGTTTCTATGTTTGCGATTTGGAATTTGGTATTTGTCCAACTCTTTGTTTATTATTTATTTAAGATCGCAAGGGCGGGGACCTGTTGCGGTGTTTGCTGGTTCTTTTTTACCCTAACCCACCTCACAGTAGAGAGGTGTCCGTTTTTATTTATTCCATCCCTACAAAGAACAGTCGCCGACCATCCCTACAAAGAACCCTGCACATACACCGACAATTTCTGCTCCTTTTTACCCATCAGCCATCTCCTAGCAGAGGTGCCCGTTTTATTTATTCTTGCACCTCCTTGCTCTCCTATGTGCTATGTGCCACGTGGCTGTGTGTGTTTGGGTTTCTATGTTTGCGATTTGGATTTTGGATTTTCTACTGCACTTTGTTTATTTATTTCTCAGTACTCATCTTCTTCTCTGTTTGACCGTTTTATTTGTTCAACCAGTAGGAGGCCCGCGCCTGCCCCCGTGCCGCCGGGTGCAACCTGTCCTATCCCTGTCGTGTGGGTGAACCCTGCCCAGCCCCCCTCCGTGTCGCGATGCGCTCCCCGCTCCCGTTCCCCTGTGTCCCTGATCGTCCTTACAAGATCCTGCTCGTGCAGGTGGGGACCCTGTCCTTCTCCCTTCTCCCACCCCTCGTTTGGCGTGCCCGTTTTATTTATCCAGCCCCCCTCCGTGTCGCGATGCGCTCCCCGCTCCCGTTCCCCTGTGTCCCTGATCGTCCTTACAAGATCCTGCTCGTGTGCAGGTGGGGACCCTGTCCTTCTCCCACCCCTCGTTTGGCGTGCGCGTTTTATTTATTCCCTGTGTGGTGGCGGCGTGCCGTTCTCCCATCCCTCCCTTGGGTTGTGTGTTCTCTTTCTTTCTTTCTGGCGGCGTGCCGTCCTCCCATCCCTCCCTTGGGTTGTCCGTTTTCTTTCTTTCTTTTTTTTACCAGGGGTTTTAGGTACTACATGTATATTGTTGGCAAGGTCGTTGTCTGCTCTATTTATTCTAAGCTGCTTATGTGGCACCGCAGAGGCTCCCTTGGGGATGCTTGAGGCCACCCCAACCACTCACGAAGCCTTACGTGGGCGTATTCAAATCTACTTTTATGGTTTACCTACATTATGCGAGTAGTATTCGCGCGCAAGAAGCGTCGCTACACAGAGCCTACCCGCCCCCCACCGGGCCGAAGAGCCAGCCCTATCCGCGCGGCGATGCGCCCTGCCCCGTCGCTTTTGCAAAATCCTGCAAAGGTGGGGACGTGTCTGTCCTCGACCCAGCCCTAGCTTGGGATGTCCGTTATATTTCTCGCTCGTGCGTCCTTGTGCTTGGAACTTGGCTAACCTCCTTTCACCTCCTGCTCTCCTATGCCACGTGGCTGTGTGTGTTTGGGTTTCTATGTTTGCGATTTGGATTTTGGATTTTCTGCTGCACTTTGTTTATTTCTGCAGCTTGAAGGGATCGTCTTTGTATGGCCCCCACCCAAACTTCCCCTTCTTCTCGAGCGGCATCTGGACCTCCGCCTGCGAGCGGCCATGGAGCGCCGTGGCGTACAGCTCCGTGTTAGCTCGCAGCTCCCTGCATCCGCCCTTCTCCACATCGCCGGTCATCATGCCGATGCAGAACTCAATCCACGCCTCCACCGCAAACACACGCGGAAGCCCGGTGACCGCATCAACAATGATCTCCAGCTTGGCGAGGCCGTTTTCCATCACCACCTTGCAGAAGGACGGATACCCCTGCTTTTGAAGCCACGCATCGAAGCCCAGCACCCGCTTCTCGTACTGCGCGCTCACCCGCTGCTGCCGCTCCTATAAAGACAACCACACGTGTGAGCCTAAGGGAGCGGCGTGCTCTGCCCGCACCGCCGCACCATCACGCGCCTTGCCTTCGAAGCTGCCTGCCTGGAGCCACACCTGGAACTTGCCGTGGTGCTCGGCGTCGTTTGTGTAGTCCTTGCGTTGCGGCATCGATGCGACCGACAAAGAGCCCGCTGGGGTCTCCCTTGCGATTGCCTCGGTGCCCCGCCAGCGTGCTTTTGTCATCATGCTGTCGTGCCTCTCCGCAGCCGCCGCGCTACCGCGGCCTCCGCCGCAGAAGGTGGCCCGCGCCTTCGCGAATCCCGTCTTGCGGCTTTTGCCGGATGCCCACCGCTTGGCCTCATTGCGGGGGCGGCCACCGGGCCGTGCCGTGGCCGCCCCCGTAGCTCGCGAAGCTGCGAACCGGGCTGCGTCCACTGCGCCGCGCCAGCGCGCCGCGACCGTCGGCCCCCGGACTCGGTTTTTCGCGGCCTGCGCCGGAGAGTTGGCGGTCGTGTGCTGGGTGGTGATCGTCATCTGTCTGCTCTGCTGTGCTTCTCGCTCGTGCGTCCTTGGACTTGTGCTGACCTCCTTTCACCTCCTGCTCTCCTATGCCACGTGGCTGTGTGTGTTTGGGTTTCTATGTTTGCGATTTGGATTTTGGATTTTCCATTGCACTTTGTTTATTTATTTATTAGGCAGGAGGCGGCGGCGCCGCAGAACGAAGCAGAGGAGAGCGACGCGACAGAAGAAGAAGAGACAAGGGAGAGAACGACGAGAAGGGGGCGACCGCGAGGTGGCATGAAGGTCGCAGCGAGAATCTGCGAGAGACTGCGAAGAGAGATAGGAAGAGGCGGACGCCCAAGGGTGGGCGACGGCTAGCGCACCACACCCCTCTCCTTAAAATCCCTGTGTGGTGGCGGCGTGCCGTCCTCCCATCCCTCCCTTGGGTTGTCCGTTTTCTTTCTTTCTTTCTGGCCCCTCCCTATGTGTAAGAGCGCGCACGAGTGGGTGTGCGAGCAATATCGAAAGACGGTGAGGAAAGCGGCGAGTCGCAATTGATCCATGTGCTGCTTGGCACGTCGATGGTGGTGGCGGAATGTGGTTGTGGGTGAGTGGCGGCAGCATGTGGGGGCCGTTAGCCTGCGTTTTCTTTCTTTCTTTGCGGCCCGTTGGATCTTCCATTTATTTCTTTGCGCGCACGAGAAAGGACGACAGCCGCCCGCCAGAGTTTTCTATCCTGGAGTTTCGTTGTAACCTTCTCTCTTAATATCATCGCAAACCCCGTCAGCAGTCCTCCTCCGGGAATGTACGTAAGAGCTACATACACTGAGAGAGGCCGACTGCGCTGAGTGGTAGGGCCCCCAAGGGCCTAGAAATCGCGCCTGCCTCTCCCTTTTCTCCCAGTAAGCTAAAAGTACACTGAATATCTATCTGACACGCCGCAAGGACGCACACGAGGACGCACGTCCCTGGCACGTTCCAAATATGGCCATGATCGCCTCCTCAGAGCACTGGCTCGACTCGGCCCTTACGCTCCTTGCGGATAGCACTCGACTCAGCCAGTTCCTCGTCCTCTACCAGCTCGTCTTCCTGCTCGTCGTCCTGGCTTGCCTTGGTGCACAGCTTTTATTGACTGCCTGCTGCAACGTTTGGCGCCGCGAGGATGGGTTAGGCGGGGCCATGTGCCTTCAGCGGCACCGCCTCCCTAGCCTGGCGAAGCAGCGCTAGTCCTGGCGCGGCGGTACACGGGGATCGTGCTTCGTGGAGCCAGGCCCCGAGTCGCGGACAGCATGCATTCGAGAGATGGCGGCAGCGGGGGCTGAGCGACTGGGGCCCAAGAACAGATCAGAGTATACGACGGGCGTCCAGACATCCTGGCAGTCACGCTCGCCTTTGGCCCACCTTCCGCCGTGATGCCGCGATCACGGTGACAGTGTCAGCGTCACCACACTTTGAGAGAGCGGTGTGCCAGACCGGCCATAACGATGAGCCCTCCTGGACGGAAGACAAACCCCCCCTCGATCTCTCCTGTGTCATGCTATGCGCTGTGTGTGCAGCGCGCTGAGCAGATCGCCGGAGTATACAGCGTTGGGTGTGTGGGTGTTTCACAGCGGTTGCCAGCCCTCGCGGGGACCCGCGTCGAGACGCGCGCGAGGAGAGACGGCGCACCAGAGGGCGGGGCCGGCGGCCGCGCGGCCGGGGGCGCGCGGGGAATCTCGGGGACTCGAAGTGTGAGGTGTGTGTTTGCGTTTTATTAAATGTTTTTGTTGTTTGGGCTTTTCGGATACGCCTCGGGCAGAGTTTCACCGCCAGCGGCCGGGAGGTCGTCGGTCCGCGCTTCTTCGTTTTTTAGCGCTTTTTTCGTTTTACATGTGTCAATGTCTCCCTCGTGCCTCACAAGAACGCTCCTCAGCCCGATCGACCGAAAAGCGAAACCCTCTCTCACCCTGCGCCACGAAAACACGAGAGCGCGCGGCCGGTGCAAACAGCGCAGCGAGGCGAGGACGGCCAGAAGAGAGGCGCGGCCGGCCAAGCGCGGGATAACGGACAGCAGTGCACGGCCCCGAGGTGGCGAGCCGGCGGCAGCCCCTGCGGAAGGTAGGCTCAGTCCATCTGGTCGATCGGCGTGAAGTTGAGGCCGAGGCCGTCGTTGCCCAGCTCGATGTACTTATTGATGGCGTCCTTGCCCTTGGCGTACGCGTCCTGCGCGATCTTGCGCCGCTTGCCGTCGTCCATCGCCTGTGGTGAGGCCAGGACATGTCGCGGAAGGGTCGAGCGGCGAGGCCAGGAGGCAGGAGCGGCTGGCGGCGGTGGGAGCGGTGCGCGCAGCGGCGGGCGGCGGTGGTGACGGAGGGCGGCGCAGCACACCTTTGGCCCACCAAAGCCAAAGAAGCCGCCGCTGCCCTCCTTGCCGCTCGCGGCGGAGCGCAGGTCACGGCACGCCTGAGGAGGTCGGGCAAAGTGAGGGACAGGAGCCGCGCTGTGCCCCGCACCCCCACCTCCCGAGACCGGCAGAGAGGAGAGGGAGGGAGGGAGGGAGGGAGAGGAAGAGTGGGAAGGGAGAGGAGTTGCGTGTGCGGCTTCACCTCGCGCAGCTCGTCGATGGCGTCGTTCATCGCGAGCGTCTTCGGCGAGATCGTCTTCGACGAGAAGGAGGACGACCACAGCTCGAGCGGGCCGAACAGCCGGTCAATCGGACCTTTGGAGGTGAGGGCCGGAGGTGAGGGCAGTGGAGGTGAAGGCAGCGGAGGCGAGGGCAGCGGAGGCGAGGTCGGAGCCGTGCGGGGGAAGGAATGCAGGCAGGGGTGCAGCGGAGAGGAGGACTGCGGCAGTGGGCAGAGAGAGGCGGCAGTGAGGAGAGCTTCAGTGAGGAGAGCCGGCACTGAGGCAGTGAGAGAGCACACCCTTCTTCTCGAGCGCCGCCTGGATCGCGGCCCAGTCGCCACTGCTCACCTGCTTGCGCAGGCCTCCCGCCCAGTAGTCGCGCCCGCGCTCCACACGCGGCACATACCGCGTGTACGCCTGCTGCCGCGTCACCAGCGTAGACTCTGCCCGCGCCTGCGCCGCCGGAAGTAGCGCCGAGAGCCCGGCCGCCGCCGCGACGACCTCGCGGCGAGAGAGCGAGAGGTCATCCGAGGCAAGGCAGGCGGGCTGGCCGACGCGGACTGGGCCAACGGCCAGGCGCGAGGCGCCGACCGGCGAGACGACGACCGACGGCGAGGCGGCGAGCAGCGAGAGCATATCTGGGGAGTGGTTTCTAGCGAAGGTCGGGAAGGGAAAAGAAAAACGAAAGAACCCGGACCTAAGACCCTTCTAGTCAGCGTGCCGTTCTCCCATCCCTCCCTTGGGTTGTGTGTTTTCTTTCTTTCTTTCTTTCCTTCTAGTCAGTGAGAAGAAGGAAGAAGGAGGCGAAACAGTGTCACACCAAAATGTCGACAAATGTGAAAATACGCTGAAGACACGCACAACTTTCGCGTCGAGCCGTGCTACCTCGCCCTGCGGGCCGACCGCTCACCACAGCTCACACCTCCCCTTTAAAATGCCGTTGCTGCCGGACCTGCCCTTCACGCAGTCGAGTGCCTATCACCTAGCAATCTGCATGTGGTACGACACAGCCATCGCGAGCTCTGCCGGCATCGCCGCCGACATCAACCGCAGGTACGCGGAACGGCACGGCTTTGCATTCGTCTCGAGTGATGTCGTCTACAGTCCGGATCGCCGCCCATCGTGGCAGCGGCTGAGCCTGATGCTGCGCACTCTCGAGGGCGGAGTGCAAGGCACACCTGTGGCCGCTGTGCTGTGGCTCGATGCTGACGCAGTCTTCCTGCATGAGAACGGCGACGCGCTTGCGGCGCAGCTCGAGGCACACGGCATTGTGGGTGGCGGGCGAGGCCCCGACATCCTGCTCTCCGGCGATCGTCCGTCCGACCTCTTCGTCAATACGGGAGTCATGGTCGTCCGCAACACGCCCTACGCGCGCGCTTGGCTGCGCTGGTTTATCAGCCTCAACGCCAGCCGGCCCGAGACGAGCAAGGACGCGCCGATATGCCTCAAGCTGCTCATGCGCTTCCCGTGGGAGCAGGGCTGTATCGGAGAGCTGTGGCACCGCAACGCGAGCGCGCTTTGGAGGCACGCCAAGCTCCTGCCGTACGGCGCGCTTCAGACGGCCGCCGCGCCGCCTCAGTTTGTGCGGCCGAGTGCTCCAATTGTGCACTTCATGCACGGGATCCCGCACCTCGGCAGCCGCACCGAGCCGATGGATCAAAAGGACCGTGAGGACGGGCTGCAAGTGGTCAAAGAGCGGACCGATCTCGTCCTCTCTGGCGGAAAGCCCGCACCACTCCCGCTGGTCAAGTTCTTCTCGCGGCTCACGCTAGGGCCACACGAGACTATGGCGACGCTCCTCAACGCAAAGCTGCCGCTCTACCTGTTTCCGCACGACTACCTCACCTCCACCCGCTACTTGAACCCACCGTCAGACAAGCAGCCCAGCGAGTGGCCGCCGGGGGACCCCGCGCTGCTGCTGAGCGAGGCTCCGCGAAGCGGGGGCAGCGGCAGCGGCACCGCCCGCGCAGCGTTGGACGCCAAGCGCGAGTCTCGGGATCTGCCAACTCGGGACCCGGGGGGTGAGAAGCAACTCACCACTGCGCCTCCGGTGAGGAGGCCACGGAGCCAGCCAATATTACCGGGGTGGAAGCTGAGGCGGGAGGCCCCGCCAGCAGAGCTAATCGGTCGCGGATAGAGTGAACAAAGGGCAAAGGCGGGCGACTACCGACTCTTGTCTCTTCGAGCACCGGGGGAGACATGTTGATGAGGAGCACTGGCGTGACGCGTGCATGCGCGATGCGGAGGCGCGCGCGTACACAAAAATATCTTGCGCGTTTGTGGGGATGTCAATTATTGATAAATAATTATACTCTCGAGTCTCATTGAGCAGCTGCACTCTAGAGAACGCGCACGGGTCGGGGCAGGCGCGCAGCGCGAGGGCGCGCGTGGCTCTTTGGCGTCCGTTTTGGGATTGTAGTCACACGGCTCAAGAGAGAAGTCGACAGTGAGCATGTGGCGATGCAGCCACACAATCAAGGCTCGAGTGAGGCCCAGCGCGTCTCCGGCGGCGGCGCGTGCCGGCGAAGGAAGGCGATGAAGCGCGCCGCCACGGCCTCCGAGAAGTCGCCGTCGCGCCACCGCTCGAGCAGCTCAGAGTTCGGTGCAAGGCGCGCCACCTGATGTTGACAAGAGTCGCCGTGGGCGCGAGGCGCCACAGAACGGGAGAGGTGCTGCCCGCCGCAGCGGCCGCGCGCACCTCCCTCGCCACCTCGGCGGGGTGGTAGATGTCTTTCCCTGTGCACAAGAGAGCCGCGCGTGAAGAGGCGCTGCTACAGCTACGTGAGCTGGGCGGTCGACGGCCGTGGCCGGCGGTCACGAGCAGCGGCGTCTGCACCGCGGAGACCTCCTCGCGCGACGCGGAAAAGACGAACTTTTCGGTGCCGCTCTCGAACATCGCTCCGTGCAGCCGCTGCAGCTCGGCGTCGGTCGCGCGGCCGGCGGAGCACATCTCCTGCGCCCACGCACCGAACCAGTCGCGCGTGGAGGCGGCGTTGGTGCCCTCCCACCCGCCTGCCTCCGTCGTGTGCTCCGCCACGCCGATGGGCTGCAGCATCAGCGCGCCGCTGAAGCGCTCCGGCGAGTGACGCAGCAGCCGAAAGATGTACGACGGCCCTGCGCACGAGGCCAGTGCCGAGTTTTGGCCGAGATGGAGGCGAGGTCTATATCCGCAGCCGGAAGAGCCGGGTGGTGTGTGCAGCGGCGTGCGTGAGAGACTGACTGAGACTGACTGAGACTGACCGATACACTGGCCGATGAGCAAGCAGCGACCGATCCCGAGGTGGTCGAGCACGGCAATCTGGTCCTCGGCGAACGCGTCCCAGCCGGCCGCTGCGTCCACCGGCCCGGAGGAGTCTCCTGCGTTCCGCTGATCCATGGCGACCACGGTGAAGTCCTCGTCGCCGAGGCGGCTCCACGCGTCCCACGGCTGTGCGCGCCACATCCCAATGGAGGAGCGCATGCCGCCGGGCGCAATCAGCAGGACGGGGATACCCGCAGTCGCACCGCGCACGGCAAAGGCGATGGTGGCGCCGCGAGTGGCGACAGTGCCCGATCGCACCAGCATTCGTCGGAAACGCAGCGGGCGTTGCGTACCTCGTGTTTGGCGGAGGCGTCGCTACCAGAGCTTGGCAACCTTAGTGGCCGCAGGCCACACGCCCGTAGGGCGTAACTAGTCGCGCGCGTAAGCGCGCGAAGAAAATTTTCACAAATCCGTAGGTACTTACCCTGGGGAAGGCCTTGTTTTCAGAAAGAAAGAAAGAAAACAGGCAACCCAAGGGAGGGATGGGAGGACGGTACGCCGCCACCACACAGGGATTTTAGGGGAGAAGTGTGGTGTTAGCCGTCGCCCACCCGTCCTTAGCGAGTGATGCAATCACGTTCTTGTTTTGCCCAAAACAAGACCGTACTCGCACGTTCTTATTGGCTGTGGCAAAGACACGCTCCGCCTCCTTCGCCGTCGCCAGCGGCGCTGCACCATGCACGCGTACTTTCCGCCCGCCGATGCAGCGGCGCCCGCGGCCGCCGGCGCGGGCGAGGCGGCAGACGGCTGCGGACAGCGGCACTACCCGCGGGCGCGCCGGCGCCGCCGCAGGCGGCTGCGTCCGGCCCCGAGGTGGCAATGCCGTCGTACCAGCCGTGGAAGCAGTCCCGGCCGGAGTGGAAAGGCTGCACTGCAGAGCAGTGGGCCGCCTCCCGCTGCAAGACCGACGACTACATCGCACCCACGATGCCCAAGGGTTCTGCGCCCGGCAAGATGTGGTCCTTTGGCGTCTGCCAAAAGGGGGCGGTGGTACGAAGCAGTGGCGCTGCCTTTGCCCGACGGCTGGACCACGCGGAACGGTGGTCCCGTGCGGCAAGATCCTCACCTTCCCCGACAACGGCAACATTTGGAGCTCGTGCGCAAACCCCCTGCCAGCCGACGGCCCCACACACACCCCTTTCCAGATTGCCTGTTTGAGACGTCCCCCAACTCCTCTGACCTCGTGCGGTCTCGTAGGCACTTCAGGAACAAGCACCCAAAGGAGTTCGACGACGCCAATAACGCGGCTGAGGTCTGAAGCGCTGCGGCGGCGGCGGCGGGTGGTTGTGTGTGGGTGGGTGGGTGGGGGGGGGGGGCGCTCTCGAGGTCGGCGATGGGAGGGTGGGGTGGGTGCGCCGTGGGTGCGCTGTTTGTGTACATCTTAACAAGTGCTTAACAAGCATGACGACCGACGGTGGGACCACGACCGACCACTGCGACACCGAAGGTATGACCGAGGAGGTCGCGGCCGAGAACGCGCCGCTGGTGAACGGCCAGGGATACGTTTGGGCCGAGGGCTACGGCGGCCGCCCCGGCTGGGTTCTCTGCGTAGATTAGGGCCAGGATAGGGCCAGGAGCCGCCGACATCCGGCGCGAGGACCGGCTCTTGCGCACAGAAGCGAGCGGAGCGAGCCGAAGAGAAAATTTGAGGCGTAAGGTCGTACTTGCATGTATGTACGTCCCTGTTTTGACAGTACGTACGTACTTTTAGCTTACTGGGAGAAAAGAGAGAGGGGGTTGTGTTCTCTAGGCCCCTAGGGGCCCTACGCGCGGCGTGAGAGCTCTCTCTCTCAGTACGTACGTAGTGTCGAAGTACGTCCGTGGTTGAGCTGAGGCGCACGTACGCGAGGGGCGCTGGCATGCTTCCGTACTCGTCATTCCTCTCGACGTCGAGTTTCCTCCTCAACGCATCCTTTCGCCCCGCACCACTCTCTACAATCATCTCAACCGTCGTCGAAGCTGCAAAGGCCGTGCCAGCAGCCGCGTGCAACCTCGCATCCTTCGGCTTCACCATCTCTCTCGGCCTCGCGATGCTCTGCGTGCCGCTCGTTATCTCGACGTGTGTATGGACGGTCTGGACTCTGGCCGCCGTCGGACCCGCCCGCAAGACCCTCTCAACCATCCTCATGTGCGGACTGGGTCCGCTTGTCCTGCCTCTCCTCTCCTCTATTGTCCTCGGCATCGCCTGGGTAGCCTTCAGCGTGCTGGCCGCAGCAGCTGCCACGCTGCTTCCCTGTGTGGTACTCCTCAGCGCTCTCTACTGGGGACTCGTCAGCGCGGCGGAGTTTCGCACCAGGGAGAGGCGAAAGCCGCAGGACGGCGCGCAGGACATCACGTTCACAGAGATGCTTCTGGCCATCTTTGCCGCCGCCACCTCCCTCGCCGTCACCGGCCCGGTCGTCCTCCTCCTCACGCTGATCAAGAGCCCGTTGGTGCTCCTCGGAGCCACTGTCTCAGCTTCATCGCAAGCGCTTGGCGCAATCTGGAAGTCAAGGGCTGGTCCGTTTGGCTCACTTCTGCTGCTGGTCCTGTTCGCCCTCGGGTTTTCGGTCGGCGTGCCTTGCCTCGCCATTGCCATCGCCCTCTCCGCGCTCGTCAAGCTCGTCGGGTGCGCGCTGTGGCCTGGGTACGTCGCGTGTGGCTGGCTGCGGACCGTTGGCGCCAAGCGCCGGGTGGCACACCGCCGCCTCACTGTTCGAGCAGTGCGCGCGCGGCTGTCGGATGCAAGCAGGTGGTCTGGCTCTCCGACATTGTCACCAATGCCAGTATCTTGCTGCGACCTGACCTCGCTGCGCAGGCCGTACACGAGTTCGGCGACCTCGCCCGGGGCGCACGGCGCGAGCTATCGCCAGAGGTGAGGTGCGTCTCGTGGTTTCCGCCAGCGGTGATCGGAGTCTTTGGTGGCCGGGTCGGCGGCGGCGGTGGGGAGTGGCGTGTGGAGGTGGGGAGGCTTGCGGCCAAGGCAGGCGTGGAGAGCGGAGCTTTCGAGAGGATGTGGGGGGCATTCTTTGCTGCCGTCGAAGCCTCCGGCCGCCGGTGCCTCGCAGAGGGCCTGTTGACTGAGGACGCCATCCTCGAGGCGCAGCCTAGCCTAATCGTCGGGCTGCCCTCCCTCGTGCTCTTCGAAGCCGTTGTGCGCTCGCCACCCAACGACGACGCGCTCACCTTGCGCGACGGCACCGAGCTCACAAATAGCAGCCGACCGCGAGGCGCGTGGGCCGATGCGCGCTGGGCCGAGCTGATGCGGGCCAAGCACAAGTGGCAGCAGCACGAGGCGCGGATCCTGTCCGGCCTGGGTAGCGACGCGCTGCAACGGTCGCGCCGTGCGTTGGAGGCGGTCCTCCTCGCTGGCGGCGAGGATCCGACGGAGCTGTCGGAGAAGCTGGCGGCGCTGGTTGGCCCAGGGGAAGAGGAGCTGTCTGGTCCGGAGCGCGACGTGCGACAGGCACTCTACGTCGCCGCCCTCGCGTGCGCGGGACACGCCATCTTCAAACGGCATTGCAACGATGCGCTGCAGGCGGTCCTCTCGGTCGACTGACTGGAGCTTGTGCATGATACACCGAATGGAGGGAAAGAGCGGCCCTTTGGCGGCCGGTATTCGTTTTTTCTATGCTAGAGAGGACTTATAAAATCGCTCCTCATCCGGCAAACCCCGCTGTCAGTTCACCCCTCGGGTATGTAGAAAGAAAGAAAACAGAGACGCCACAAGGGAGGGATGCGGAGGACCACGGCACGCCGCCACCACACAGGGATTTTAAGGAGAGGAGTGTGGTGGTGCTAGGTGCTAGCATGGCCGTCGCCCACCCTTGGGAGTCTGCCTCTTCCTATCTCTCTTCGCAGTCTCTCGCCGCTTCTCGCTGCAACCTTCATGCCACCTCGCGGTCGTCCCACTCTCGTCGTTCTCTCTCCTGTCGGCTGTCGCTTGACGCTTCATCCTCTGACTCATCGCGCTCCTCTGCCTCGTTCTGTGACGACGCCGACGGGTATGTTCGTAAGCATTCCGGGGAAATTCTTTTCTACCTAGTACGCAGTGTGCGCCCTCCTGTCTGGTATAGAACAGCCACTCCGCTGTGAACCTCTCACAGACCAGCGCATAGCGCCATAGGACGTATTTTCTTGTCAATAACAAGGCTGTGAGTATTTTCTTCTCAATAACAAGGCTGTGAACACCGAGGGGCCTCCGTCTTGCGCTTCTGCTGCTCGGAGAAGAAGTGCGCCCTCTCGCTTCGCTCGACGCCACCCCTTGGCAGCAATGGCTGACGTACCAAATGCAGCTCCTGTCGCCTGCGTGCTGGCCGGCCACGGCTTATTCCTCCTCGGATGCGGCTGGTACGGCGCCAAGATCTCCGGCTGGACAGCCATGCACAGCCTGTACGCTGGCGCTGGAGGCGGCGCAGCGCTGGGTGTCTGCGGCCTCCTCACCGTTGGCGGCACGCGTAAGCTGTACATGATCGGTGTGCACGTCGGCCTGTTGCTCCAGCTCGCGTTTAGCGCCGTCTTTGGGCTGCAAGCGTGGAGGTCGTACGGCGTACCAGCCAAGGCGGACCGGTTTCCGCTCTTTGTCGTCATGTGCGGCGGCTCGGTGCTCGCGCTTGGGCTGATGCGCGCCTTCAAACCGAAGGCTAAGGAGAAGAAGTGAGAGGCGCCCCGTGCATAGTTCAGCCCCCAGCACGGGCTAAAGGTAGAACGACAAACTTACTTGTGATCTTGAGCATGCGCACAACCGCCCGGCCGCCCGCGGTACCCTGATCCCTGTCATAGTCACTGTACCTTTTTAACACTATATGACTTTGGAGAATTCACATGACTTTAGGTTGAAGACACACACTGAGGAGAGAAGGTGCGCTACGATACCACGCGCACGGGATTAGAGCATGATTCCATGAAAATTCCAGCTACAGTTCATCGTCCAAGTCACCTGCTGCTCTTCTGTCCTCCGTGCCGGTGCCGCTACCGGCCCGGCACGGCTGCGAGAGACAGCTCTCGCCGCCCGCCCCGTCTCCACTGCCACCGCCGCCGCCAGAAGCGGCGGCCTCGCTCACCACCACCGCTGGCGCCTCCGCAGAGGGGACCAGCTTGACGAGGGCGGCGGGCACCTGCTCACAGCTTGCGGCGTGAAGAGGGGACCCTCGCGCGGTTGGGACGAAGGCCGTGAAGAGGGGACCAGCTGAATGAGGGCGACGGCGACGGCGCGGGCGAGCGAAGCGCTGGCCGCCGCCGCCTCTGCCGCCAGCGACGCGAGGGTGGGGCCCCACCGGAGCACGAGCGGGCCGCCGTGCGCCGCGCCCGCCTGCTCACAGCTCGGAGCTGTGAAGAGACGCCGCCCACTTGTCACGAGACGCGTCCGCCGCCTTCGCCTCGACAGCGCGAGAGCAGAACGACGCGGCGGCGGCGGCGGCGTCGCGGGCAGCAGATGCGAGGGCTGGTCCGTGGAGGGCTGCGGCGGCCGCCGCGCCAGACGCCAGACGCGACGAGGCCGCCGCCGCCGCCGCCGCCGCCGCGCCGCCCCGCCACGCCGCGCCGCCGACAGCAGAGCTGGCCGCGATGGCGGTGCTCGAGAGGGCGGAGGAGAGGGCGGCGGCGTTGGCGGCGGCGGCGGCGGCGTGGGGGCGGAGCGCCGCAGCCGCGTCGCGCAGTGTGGCGCCTGCCGTGCGGCGCGTGTGCGGCGACATGAGCAGCACCAGCGGGAAGAGCGAGAGCACCTGAGCGCCCGAGGCGCACGCGTGAGCCGTTCACTCTGCGGCGGGTCCGGCGCGAGAGCAGCGGAGGCACGATGTGGGGAGGAGAGGCGGAGACGGCGCCGCACGCGACGATCACCCAGATCAGGTCGGAGGAGGTGAGGTGCAGCAGCGGCTCGAAGGCGCCTGCTCACAGCCAAATGCCTGTCCAGCGGCGGCAGCCCGACGCGTGACGGCAGCGGCGCAGCGGCGCCGAGGGCGTCGGCGAGGAGGTAGAGGGTGGCGAGCGCTGCGACGCCCGCGAGGGGGGAGGAGTGCGGGCAGGCGCGCCAGAAGAAGCCGCCAAACAGGTAGACCTGTGCCGCGCGTCGCAGGTGTGGAGAGGCGGCAGGGCCCAGGGTGCGGGACAGAGGTGCAGCCCGCCAGTGCGGCGCCACCAAGGCCCGAGTGCAGCATCGCGGGCACCGCGGCGGCCGGGAGAAGGACGAAGAGGACAAAGCCGTCGAGCGGCGAGCCGAGCGGCGCCAGCATGCTCTGGAAGCTCTTGTCCCGCCGGCAGACGGCGGTGGCGGGAAGGACCGCGAGCGAGGCGACGAGGCCAGTCAAGAGGTAGAGCTTGCAGATCACGAGCAGGATGAGGTATGCCTTGCCGACAAAGGCTGCCAGCTCGGGCCAGGGCGTATCTGGTGCCGCCGACGAGGACGACGAGCGCCGCGTGCTCTCCGATCCGCGAGGCGTGCTGTCGGGAGGATCGGCCGGCGCCGCCGCCTGTTGCTGCAGCAGGCGTATGCCGACAAGGGAGGCGAACGTGGCAAGCGAGGCAGCGGCGACGCCGAGCGTCATGACGATGGAGCCGGCGAGCAGGTCGGCAATCATCGGGCGGCAGGTGTCCTTCCGCTAATCTACTCGAGTAGCGGGCCCGGCCGCGCGGTGCTCAGGATTTTTTATTGCACTCGCCGGTCGGAGACCATGGGAAGGCGAACAAGAGGAAGAACTCAGAGGAGAGGGGAACCTCCTCCGGAGTGAGGATGAGGACCTTGCGCGAAGGGGCCCTGAGCGGTGACGTCGTGTGAGAGTGCGTGTCGTGTTCATGTCTGGTGTTCACTATAGCTCCGAGTAGAGGGGGCGGTCTGCTGCTAGGGGAAACCCGGAGCGCGGAGCCAACCCTCGGAGACCCGTGTTTACTTTAAGGCCCTTTCCCTGCGAACGCGCACCCCCGGGGCTAGGGCTCTCTTGCCCGCAACCCGATCCCGATCATCCGGCCCGCTGGGTGCGCTTCTCAGCTCCCCGGCCCTGGATGTGAGGCTAATGACTGCACTCCAAGTGCTCCAAGTGCCGGCGGCGCGGTGGCATGGGGAATGCGAACGCCGACGCGCTGGACGGGTCCACAGCGGTCCGCGAGAGCTGCTATATGCCGATCGCAGCGCGGTGGTCACCTGCACCCTGTATAGCATTTGCAGTGCGGCGCTGCTGCTGCTGAACAAAGTGTAGCCCTCCTTTTGGTATATAACAAAGTGATCATAAGCTGTATATGCGCCGCTGCCGTCGATGGTATCAACGCTTCAGTTCTTGGCGACCGTGCTGGCGGCGCTCTTTGCGATGGTCCAGGGCGTAGCTCCGGTGGACCGCTTCCTGTGGGAGCGCGCCAGGCATTACCTCCTGTACGTGGCGATGTTTTGTGACGTCTACCATCTACTGTAACTTCAAAGTGCTCGAAGTGTCCAACGTGGAGACTCTGATCGTCGCACGATCCTGCGTGCCGTGCCTAGTCGCGCTGCTCGAGTACGCCTTTCTGGGCCGCCAGCTCCCATCCTGCCGCTCGTGGCTCGCGATGCTCGTCATGTGCAGTGGCGCGGTGGGCTATACGTTATGAGCGACGCGGGCCTTGATGGCAGGGTTGACAGCATACACCTGGATCACAGTCTACTTTCTCGTGGTAGCAGTGGAATCCGCCTACGGCAAGCATATCGTTGGCCCACACCTCGGCTTTGGAAGCATGTGGGGTCCGACGCTGTACACCAACACTATCTCCATCCCCCCGATGGTCGCTATCGGGCTCCTCTCTGGTGAGCAAGAGGCTCTCTTGCGTCACGCCGACTGCTCCAAGTCCAGCCCGGTGGAGGATGCCGACTCGAACCAAGCCGTCGTTCTTCTCGTCCTCATCTCGTGCGCTCTCGGCGTGGCTGTCGCGTTCCTCGGCTTCGAGGCTAGGAGGCTCGTGTCGGCGACGTGCTTCACAGTGTTGGGCGTGGCGGGGAAAATGGCGACGGTGACCGCCAACGGGCTGATCTGGGACAAGCACGCCTCGCCCGAGGGTATTGCGTTTCTGGCGGCCTGCCTGGCCGGTGCGGCCATATACCAGCAATCTCCGCTGCGAAGCGGGGCGATCCAAAGGAGAGAGACTTTGCCGCTATCTAGATAATCTGGGTTCCGGCTCCTACCCAGACAGGGGGTCTGTTCACCACGGTTAGACCCTATGCAAAAGGTAGGTAGGTGGTGGTGGTGGTGGTGGTGGTGGTGGCGGGGGGTGGGGGAGGGAGGGTGTAAAAAACCGAAACCGCCTCGCTCGCGCGGGAGACGGCGCGTTTAGCCGCGAACGCCTCGAGAGCCCAGTAGGCCATGCTCTGGCGGGCTCGCGAGCGGCGCGCACCGCGGTACAAGCCGGCGCGCGGCGGGCGTTGGGAGCCTATTCACAGAGGGGGGGGGATTTTCCTGAGGGAGGGTGTAGAGGATGTAGAGTGAGAGCGCTGTAGAGCTGTAGAGCTGTAGAGCGCTCTGGAGCGCTGTAGAGCTGTAGAGCTCTACATCCACCGCGTGACGAACTGCGTGCGTTGTAGAGCGATGTAGAGCGCGATTTTGCTGTAGAGTTTGTTGTAGAGGCTCTACAGCCAAACCGCCGGGAAGGCAGTGACTCAAAGAGGTCGAGCCGCACTAATGGGGTATCTCCGAGCTTACTGGAGCTCTGATGGACGGCCCTGACTATCCCTGACACACAGAGAGTCACTCTGACGGCACACAACACCCTTTAACTGCGTCATGACCAGCCTGCCATGCGTCGCCGGTGCCGCATTCGTCGCAGTGCTTCTTTAGCAGGCGGTGGACTGTCGGCTGCGAGGACGGTCGCATTTGCGCGAGGCGAGGCGAGCATTGCTGCGCGTTGCATGCGCCATGACTCGCGCCAGCGCGTGCGGGAGCTCCTGGCTGAGCGTTGAGTCCAGGCGAGTTGCGCTGGCCACTATCGCTACGCCGAGCCGAGCTGACGCGCCGAGGCGCGCCGGCCAGTCGCAGCCGTGAGGCATGCCACAGCAGCAGAGGCACCTGCCACCCATTGGGCGGGCAGATAGAAGGCCAGGGCAGCACTGGCAAGTGCAACGCGCCTAAAATGTCGGAGAGCGACCGTGCCTCGTTCGCCGCTTATGATGTAGAGTTTGTTGTAGAGATTTCACGTTGTAGAGCGCCTACATCGCTCTACATCTGCATCGCTCTGTCCCGCGCCGGATGTAGAGCTCTACAGCTCTACAGCGCTCTACAGCGCTCTCCAGCGCTCTACATCTCTACAGCTCTACAGACAGCGCTCTACACTCTACATCCTCTACACCCTCCCTCAGTCAGTGTTGTTTCTGCTGTTGTTTGTGCCCTTGGCACCGTGGGTGCTGGGGGGGGCGACAGGGTCCGGGCGTGGGGCCCTGAGTGGCGTAGTGCTCAGGATGTGTGGCAGCCCAGCTGGCTGAGTGTCTTGTGAGTTGGTTTGGTGTGTCTGTGTGTCGCTCGCGCGAGTCGTCGTCTTCTGTCTCGCGTCCACCCATACCGCGTTGGTGTCCAGTCCGAGCCTGACTGTTCTTCGCGTTTTTTCTATCTAATCTAATCTAGCGTGCGTGGGTGCGTGTGGGACCAGCTTCCAGAGCGGCGTGCCCTCGTCCTTGTCCAGCTCGTTGGTCCCAAACTCTGCGCGCTTCAGCTCCACCTCTGCGTCGGCGAGGCCCTGCCCCTGGTCAACGCCGTGGCTGGCGAGCACCTGCGGGCGCAGAGGCAGCGTGCGTGTGGGCCGCTGCAGCGGAGGCGCCCAGCAGCGGGACGAGAGCCTGCTCGGTGGGGTAGGCCCACGGCCTCTCCGAAGCCATGATGATGTCTCGACGTGGTGGCAGCGCTGAAACTCTTACGTCGAGGAAGAAAAAGAATTCCGCGGCACAGACACATGCGCATTTCGGTCGCCGCGTCGCACGTCGAGCCCATCGACATGCGGTTGCACGGCGGCTGGGGCTCGGTCGCCGCCCCTCCGCTCGCCTCGGACGCCGCCCAAGACGACGGCGAGACTCTCTGCTGCGCCGTCTCGGGGGCGGCTGCGGACGGCTCTGGCGATGTCATCGCCCTCGTCGACAGTGCCGAACCCTCACCGTCGGTCGAGGCGCGACGCGCGCTCTGCTTCTCCAAGCCGCGCTCGCTGAGCCACGTCGCCGCCGCCCAGCTCCCAATCCTCGTCCTGACTGCCGCCGCCGCCCTTCACTCGGTCGGCCTCCCGCCGGGCACGCCTTCCATCGGCATGCGATCGGACTCGCCGGCGACGGCGCGCCGCCTCGCCGCCGATGCGCCTCCCCGTCAATAGACGCCGCCGCGACGCACCAGCCTCACGCCGTCACGCACAAGCCTCACGCCGCGCCGCGCGTCGCAGGTGCTCATTGCCGGCTCCACCGGCCGGCTGCCGAAGCTTCTCGTCGAGCTGCTCTCGGCTCGCGGCGCCCGCCCGTGCGTCGCCGCGGCGGAGGGCGGCGCCGACGCGCTGCAACGTGCGGGCGCGAGCGCCGTCTTCAACTACCACGCCGAGTCGTTTACCGAGCAGCTGGCCGGGACAGGCCTCTCTGCAGTGGTGGACGTGGTCGGGCGGGAGGAGGAGCCGGGCTGGGTGAGGGAGGCGCTCGGCTGCGCCTATGTCTCGGCGGCGTCGCCCGCGCTGCTCTCGCTCAGCGAGGACGGCGCCCTCGCGGCGGCGCGTGGCTGGCAGAGGCGGTGGGGCAGGCGGCCGCACGAGGGGAGGCGCGTCTGGCGCGCGGACGACCGCGCGGCGGAGGCGCTGTCCGAGGCGATGGCGCTGCTCGAGAGCGGGAAGCTGACGCCGCCCGCCGAGGCGAGCGCCGCCTCCGAGACGGGGATGCAGTACCTCGAGTTCCTGCGCTGGCCGCGCGATTCGGAGACCGGCCGCCGGTTCGGATTCCCAGGCGAGAGAATCTACTAGTACCACGCTCCACGGGCACGGCGGGCAAGGCCTATTTAGTGATATATACTCGGCCCGGCGGGCCCTCGACGTCGATCGTCGTCGTCCCCAATAGCGTGGAGAGAGACGACGCCCGACGGGAACGCGAGCACACGGACACGCGTAAAGCGTAAAATGCAATAAAGTGAAAAGTAAATAGGAGGCCAGAGGGCGGCGCCCGGCGCGCCCGGCGGTACAAGGGAAACCAGGGCGAAAGGACAATCGGATCATCGTCGTCGGCCGCCCTTGTTTACAAAAACAGGCACCGCTCCACGGCTCCACGGCTCCAGGCACGGACAGTCGAGAAGGTTCTCCACCCTCCTTTGACCTTGGTATCGGATCCCCGCCAAACCGCCCCCGCCCGCCGTTGTTCCCGCGTTGATTGTAGATGGCTCCCCTGAAGCCGCCAAGCTTGCCGCCGCTGGCCAAGTACATCGCGGGGAAGCGTGCCTCCGAGGCCGCCAAGGCCAAGAAGGCCCACGTGCGTGTCAACGCGCCCCCGCCGGCTGACGTGGAGGGCGGGCCTTTATCAGAGACAGACTGGGCCAGGGCGGGGATAAACCGGGGAGATGGCGAGTCCAAGGCGACGACCGTGAAGGGGATGTGGGGCCTGGAACGCCAGTTGGACGCAATCCCCGACGCCAGCGCTGAGAAACTGGTCGCCGTTCTGCCCGACCGCTCCCTCGGCATCGAGATTTACGCAAGCGCGCCGGTTGCGCTGCTCTACCAGATCGTGACACTCATCACGCTGCCGCTGTTTGTGCTGTACCTGCTCCTCAAGGCCATCATGGGCGTCTTTCTGTGGATGGCCAACGGGGTGGTTTACTACTGCTGCTGCGGCCGCCCGAGCTTTGCCGAGGTTAAGGTGACCCTCGCCCCTGCCGGCATGGCCTCCCCGACGTCTCTGCGGCGGCGGCGGGCGCCGCTCTTCTCACGACCCTCTCTCCCATGCAGCCCGGGGATGGCTGGTGCCTCATCACTGGCGCCTCGTACGGCATCGGCAACTCGATCGCGCGTGAGATGGCCTCGCGCGGCTACGACGTCATCCTCGTGGCGCGCACCACGTCCAAGCTGACGGAGTGCGCCGAGCAGTGCCGCGCCTTCGGCGTGCAGGCGAAAGTGGTGACGCAGGACCTGGCACTCGAGAATTCGCCGGAGCAGCTCTGGAAGAAGGCGAGACTGAGAGGCCCCTACCCCCCACTTCCAGCAGCCGCTGCCCCCGAGGCCGCATCGCGTGCCCCGCGACACGCGCGCAGGTGCAAGAGATGGGTCTCGACGTCTCGATTCTCGTCAACAACGCTGGCGCCGGCTTTTACGGCATCTTTAACGAGGCGCGCCCCGCTTCAAGTGCACCCGCGAGCGTGCCCTTTGCCGATCAAGACAAGGAGCATTAGGTGAACTGGGGCAAGTACTCTTACATGATCAATCTCAACATGCGCACCTACGCGGGCAACATCCACCACTTCGGCCGCCCCATGATCGAGAAGGGACGCGGCCACATCCTCAACATCGCGTCGATCGCCTCCTTCGCGCCGGCGCCGTCGGAGGCGATGTACAACTCGAGCAAGGCTTTCGTTCTCGCGCTCGGCCAGGCCGGCCCACGCAGTCGCCCCGCCGCTCTGCGCAGGCAGGTTTTGACTGATGCGCAAGCCTGCACACCTAGGCCATCAAGTACGAGCTGCGCAACACCGGCGTGTCGCTCACCACGGGCTGCCCCGGCTTCACCCAGACGCGCTTCTGGCCACACGACGGCGCGCTCGCGCCGGCGGGCGCCACCGCGTGCATGCTGCAGAGCTCGGACGGCTGCGCGCGTCAGCTGGTGGACGCGATGTTCCAGTCCACAGTCTGGACCATCGCGGGGACGCCCCTCGGCTGGATCGTGAACTACGTCGCCACGCAGTCGACGCCGATGCTCCCGTGGGACTACGGCATGTGGTTCGTCGCCAAGCTCTTCAAGTCGGAGGTGACTGAGAAGTCGTGGGTCCAGGGGTGGCTCTACTACCTCAAGCCGGCGGGCGGGTGGCCGTGGCAACGCACCATGTAAGAGCAAAGAGGGACGGCCGCCGCATGGAAGGGGCGCTGAACCATCCCGGATGGTGGCTCCCCTGCCTGTCTTCCACTCTCGTCCCCTTTGCGACGCCGCACGCCCCAGGGGCGGAGGGGGCGCTCTTACAGTCCATGCGCATGCGACACCCATGGCCCCGGTGCCCGGATGACACGAACACACCCTTGAAACTTCTACCACATGAGTCATGACACAGATCCACAACTCACTCTCACAAACACACACAACCCCCTTCACTTTTCCTTTTGCCAATATCAAATGGCGACATAGTTACGCAATTTGATCTAAAGAGGAGGGCCCGGCGCTCTCGACGAGGGCGATGACATCGCCAGGGCCGCGACGCATGCTGATGGAAGGCGTGCCCGGCGGGAGGCCGACCGAGTGAAGGGCGGCGGCGGCAGTCAGGACGAGGATTGGGAGCTGGGCGGCGGCGACGTGGCTCAGCGAGCGCGGCTTGGAGAAGCAGAGCGCGCGTCGCGCCTCGACCGACGGTGAGGGTTCGGCACTGTCGACGAGGGCGATGACATCGCCAGAGCCGTCCGCAGCCGCCCCCGAGACGGCGCAGCAGAGAGTCTCGCCGTCGTCTTGGGCGGCGTCCGAGGCGAGCGGAGGGGCGGCGACCGAGCCCCAGCCGCCGTGCAGCCGCATGTCGATGGGCTCGACGTGCGACGCGGCGACCGAAATGCGCATGTGTCTATCCTCACGGCGGAATTCTTTTTCTTTCTCTTCGACGTAAGAGTTTCAGCGCTGCCACCACGTCGAGACATCATCATGGCTTCGGAGAGGCCGTGGGCCTACCCCACCGAGCAGGCTCTCGTCCCGCTGCTGGGCGCCTCCGCTGCAGCGGCCCACACGCACGCTGCCTCTGCGCCCGCAGGTGCTCGCCAGCCACGGCGTTGACCAGGGGCAGGGCCTCGCCGACGCAGAGGTGGAGCTGAAGCGCGCAGAGTTTGGGACCAACGAGCTGGACAAGGACGAGGGCACGCCGCTCTGGAAGCTGGTCCTGCAGCAGTTCGACGATCTCCTCGTCAAGATTCTCCTCGGCGCTGCCGTCCTCTCCTTTGTGCGTGCTGCGCCGCCGCGACTGCCGCCTCTGCCGCTCCTCTCTGCAGCCCTGCAAGAGCGCCTGCCATAGTGCTAGGCCAGGCGCGCCGACTCGACCGCGTGAGGCCAGGCGCGCCGACTCGGCCGGCCGCCCCCCTGGCAGGTGCTCGCCTTCTTCGAGGACAGCGAGGAGGAGGGTCTGCAAGCGTTTGTTGAGCCGTGCGCTGCCGGCAGATGCCAGACTCCACACAGAGCAACACGCGCTCCTCTGTCCTCGTCCTGGCGGCGGGCACGCCAGTGCGTGCCCTCTCGCCTTGACGCGCTCCAGCCTCCTCCCTTGGGCTGCGTGAGGCCGCGAGCGGCTCTCTGCGCGCCTTGTTCCCCTCGAAGCCGTCTCGCTGCGACACATCTCTCTCTCTGCTCGCACACCGCTTCCCTCCGCTCGCAGGTTCGTCATCCTGCTCATCCTCATCATCAACGCGGTTGTCGGTGTGTGGCAGGAGCACAACGCTGAGAATGCCCTCGAGGCACTCAAAGAGCTGCAGGCGCGCGCCGACGCCTCCCGCGCCCTCTCGCGCGCCGCCGTCGCTCGACTCCCTCGCCGCTCTATGCCACGCCCTCACCGTCGCCCTCCTCCCCCCCCCCCCGCACTCACTCTCTCCCGCGTCCTCTCTCTCCCGTGCGCTTCGTCCGAGCCAGCGCGGCCACTCCGACGCGTTCCGCACTCGGCGCTGCAGGGCTGCAAGGCAAAGGTCTACCGCAACGGCCAGCTCGTGCCTGACCTGCCTGCGGCGGACCTTGTGCCGGGCGACATCGTCGAGGTGTCCGTCGGCGACAAGGTGCCCGCCGACTTGCGCGTGCTGCGCCTCAAGACCACGACGGTGCGCGAAACGCCGACGCTTCGGTTCCCTCGGCTCCACCTCGGCTCCACCTCCACCTCGGCTCCACCTCGGCCCCACCTCCGCCTGGGCCGCGCCTCGGCTCCACCTCGGCCAGTCTCGGCGACACCTCGGCGCCATCTCGCCTAGGTGCGCACCGACGAGGGCGCGCTCACGGGCGAGTCGGAGACGGTGATGAAGCACACCGAGCCGGTGGGGGCGGAGGCGCGCATCCAGGACAAGACCAACATGATGTTTTCGGGCACGACCCTCTCGGGGGGCGGCGCCTTTGGCGTGGTTGTCGCGACGGGCATGCGCACCGAGATCGGCAAGATCCAGGCCAACGTCAAGGAGGCTGCGGAGGACGAGGAGAAGACGCCGCTTGGGCAGAAGATCGACGCGTTCGGAGAGATGCTCGCGCGCGTCATCGGCCTCATCTGCATCGCCGTCTGGGTGATGAACTTCTCTAAGTTCGCCGACCCGGTGCACGGCGGCTTCTGGCACGGCCTCATCTACTACCTCAAGATCGCCGTGGCGCTCGGCGTCGCCGCCATCCCCGAGGGCCTCCCCGCCGTCATCACGCTCTGCCTCGCCCTCGGCACGCGCAAGATGGTCAAGCGCAACGCCATCGTCCGCAAGCTCCCCTCCGTCGAGACGCTCGGCTGCACGACCGTCATCTGCTCCGACAAGACGGGCACCCTCACCACCAACCAGATGGCGGTGGTGGCGATGGCGTACCCGCGCTCCGCGCCGGACGACATCGCGGAGCACGTCGTCACTGGCACCTCGTACAGCCCCGAGGGCGAGGTGGTTGGGCTCAGCCTGTCCGCCGACTCGGGCGTGCTCGACATCGCGAGGGTGTCCGCGCTGTGCAACCAGGCCTCGATCCACTACGCGGGCGGCAAGTACGAGCGCGTCGGCGAGCCGACCGAGGCGGCGCTCAAGGTGCTGGCCGAGAAGATCGGGCTTCCGGGCGTGCCTCGCACCAGCGACCCCGCGCTTGCGTGCTGCCAGGCCAACGGCCACTGGATAGCGCAGAGCCCGTGCAACGCGGTGCTCGAGTTCTCGCGCGACCGCAAGTCGATGTCGACGCTCTGCGGTTACGGAAGCGGCGCGTCGGAGGGGGGGCTCGGCGCGAGCCCCGCGCGCGCGACGCGCTCCCGCGCAAAGGCGTCGGGCGGCGCAAACATGCTGTACTGCAAGGGCGCGCCCGAGTCGGTGCTGCCGCGCTGCACGCGCGCGCGGCTGGCCAACGGGACGACGGTCAGCCTGTCGGCGCCTCAGCGGGACGCGCTCCTCGCCTACGTCTCCGGCATGGCGGCGCGCCCGCTCCGGTGCCTCGCGCTCGCCATCGCCGAGGACGTCGGCGACTTGGCGGACTACGACGGCCCGTCGCACCCGGCGCACCACAAGCTCGTCGACACGGCCGGCTTTGCAAGCATCGAGAAGGGGATGACCTTCGTCGGCCTGGTGGGCATCAAGGACCCCGCGCGGCCCGAGGTCGCGCCGGCGATCGCCTCGTGCAACACGGCGGGCATCCGCGTGGTGATGATCACCGGCGACACGAAGCCCACCGCCGAGGCCATCGCGAGGGAGATTGGGATCTTCCCCGAGGGCGAGTCGCTGCAGGGCCGCTCCTTCACCGGCGCCGAGTTCTTCGCGCTCTCGGCGGAGAAGCGGCGCGAGCTGCTCACCGAGCACCGCCACTCGATGGTCTTCTCGCGCACCGAGCCGCGCGACAAGCAGGAGCTCGTCAAGATCCTGCGCACCGCCGGCGAGGTGCCCGCGATGACGGGCGACGGCGTCAACGACGCGCCGGCGCTCAAGCAGGCGGCCATCGGCGTGGCGATGGGCATCGCGGGCACCGAGGTGGCCAAGGAGGCGGCCGACATGATCCTGGCGGACGACAACTTCGCGACCATCGTCGCGGCGGTGGAGGAGGGGCGCGCCATCTACATGAACATGAAGGCCTTCATCCGCTACCTCATCTCGTCCAACATTGGCGAGGTGGCCTCCATCTTCCTCACGGCGCTGCTCGGCTTCCCCGAGGGTGACCCCGCCCCCGCCCCTTCGGCCTGCCGTGCCCCTCCGGGCCGCCCCCCCTCCGCTGAGCCCTCTCCGACCCGCCCCGCCGCAGGCCTCATCCCGGTCCAGCTGCTGTGGGTGAACCTCGTCACCGACGGCCCGCCCGCCACCGCGCTCGGCTTCAACCCGCCCGACCCGGACATCATGCGCCGCCCGCCCCGCCGTGCCGACGACCAGCTCATCACGCCGTGGGTCTTCTTCCGCTACATGGTCGTCGGCTTGTACGTCGGCTTCGCCACGGTCGGCGTGTTCGGGTACTGGTACACGGCCTACGACTGGTCCGAGTACGGCCACCCTCTCATCTCGGTCTCGCACCTCTCAAACTGGGGCAAGTGCTCCCACTTTGGCGAGATGGCCGAGTTTACGAGCGACCCGTGCGCGCCCCGCCTTCCGCCCGCGGATGCGCCGCGAGCTCGCCGCCGCCTCACCGCCGCGGCTGTGTGAGCAGGTATGCTCCCGACTTCACGACGTGGGCCGCCAACGGCGGGCTCGACCTGTCCGCCAAGCCGTGCGACTACATGACGGGCAGGGCGAAGAACACGGCCTCCACGCTCTCGCTCTCCGTCCTCGTCACGATCGAGATGTTCAACGCTCTCAACGCAATCTCGGAGGACGGCTCGCTGCTGCAGGTGCCGCCGTGGGTCAACCCGTGGCTGCTGCTCGCGATGTTCGTCTCCTTTGGCCTCCACTTCGTGATCATGTACGTGCCCGTGCTCGCGACCATCTTTTCGATCGTGCCGCTCACGCTCAACGACTGGCTCCTCGTGCTCGCCTTCTCCTTCCCCGTCATCATCGTCGACGAGGCGCTCAAGCTCGTCGGGAGGGTGCGCGAGCGCGCGGCCTTCCATCGGCGCATGGAGAAGGAGGAGTAGAGGGGCGCGGGGAGGGGCGGCAGGGGCGGCACACGCCGCGGGGCGGCTGCGCGCCTCAGAACCGCGACGGTGCTTCCGCGGCAGCGCCGCGGCCAGCGCGGCCAGCGCGGCCCCGACGGGTTCTATTGACATCTCGCCGCGGTCTCCGTCCCGTCGGCTTGGGGGGATGGGGAACGTCGAGATTGATAAGCGCAGCAGGCGCGGTGTCAGAGAGCGGGCTCGGACTCGCAGTGATTGGATTGTTTCGGGGGGGTTCCTGTTTCTTTGGTAACAGCTGTTGCGACGGTACCCCCCACAACCAAAAAGATGCCCCGCCTCGAGTGCCCCGCGATATCCCACACACGGCCTATACGCCAAAAGGCGGCAGCGGGCCAGCATCAGAATCGTCCGTCATATGCGTGTTCCGTTTTCCCAAATCACGATGACACAACCCGCATGATTAATTACTTGTGTCGCTAATGTTCAAACAAGCGGTCGTGTCGTGCAGCTCGGGTGCTGGGGGGGTCGTGGGAGCCGCTCGGGACCATTCTAAAGGCGTGTGTTGGTAGCTGGGGCCTCGAAAGCGCCCCCGGGGCCCTCTGCAGGACCTCTCTGGAGCCCCAAAACGGCGCCTGCAGGGCGGCTCGCGGCTTTGAGGCTCGTAAAACGGGTGCCGCTGGCATCGTCCCGATGCGTGTGTATCACCACATGCCGATATCGCGCACGAGTCAGCCGCGAGAGTCCGTCCAAGCCTCGGAACGAGCCCAACGGGGCCTTTTTGGCCCCTCGGCGCCTTCTGCCGACCTTTGGCGCCCGATTTGGTGCCACCCTGCGGTCTTCAGACGCATCTGAGGTGCTCCCATGATGTTTCTACATCGGGACGTGTCGTGGTCTGACAATCGAAAGCGGCAGAGAGCACACAACCACCCAAGCACGCACCCACGACAGACACCCGTCGCTGTTTTGGCTCCTGCTGCACACACCTAGCAGCTACTAGAGTCCGTCCGGTCCCCCGATTGGGTTCTCCGCACTCCCCGCGTCTAGGAGGAGCTGCAGGATCGCCGCCTCGCGCGCCTCCCCGTCCCCTCTCCTGGACGCCTCACCACCGTCAGTAAAGTCGTGGAGGAAGGCGCCAGCGTCCCCGAAAGGGTTAGCGCCTGTCTCGGCGTAGGCCTGCAGCAGCCCGCGGAGTCGCAGGCGCTCCTCGGCGATGAAGACGCCATTCGCCCGCGAGGCGTCTCGCAGGTCGCTGCCTCTCAACCCCGACAGGTCGCGCAGCGGCGTCCCGCGCAGCAAGAAGAGGTGCAATGGGTCCTGGAAGTCACCACGCGCGACCCACGCGTGGAACCTTCCTTGACGGACCACGCCCTCCACCTCGCGCAGCCATTTCACCTCGACCACGCGCACTTTGATCTTTGTGATGAGGCAGAGCCACACGGTCGGCTCGCCGCTCGGGGCGTACCCGGCCAGATACTCGGCCACCGCCTCCGCCGAGCCCGCCGCCGCCCTCGCCTCCGCCGCCTCCGCCGCCGCTGCCCTCGCCTTCGCCACCGTCGCCGCCGCCGCCCTCCCCGCCGCCGCCCCCGCCTCCGCCACCCTCACCACCGCCGTCCAGCCCGCCGCCGCCAAGCCCGCCGCCGCCCTCGCCTCTGCCGCCGTCTCCGCCGCCTCCCTCGCCTCCGCCACTGTCGCCGCCGCCTCCCTCGCCGCCGCCCTCACCACCGCCGCCCTCACCACCGCCCTCACCGCCGCCGCCCTCGCCTCCGCCACTGTCGCCGCCTCCTCGCCTCCGCCGCCCCCGCCGCCGCCACCCTCACCGCCGTCGCCTCCCTCGCCGCCGCCGCCCTCGCCGCCGCCGCCCTCGCCCCCTCCGCCCTCGCCGCCGCCGCCCTCGCCGGCGCCGCCCAGCCCGCCCCCGCCCTCGCCGTAGCCACCCAGCCCGCCTCCGCCGAGCCCGCCGCCGCCCTCGCCTCCGCCGCCGTCGCCGCCGCCTCCTTCGCCACCACCGCCTTCGCCGCCGCCACCCTCGCCGAGATGCCGCCGAGATTTTGAGATGCTATTGAGATCTTTCACGACGCGTCGTAGTGAGTCGAGTGTCATGGTGTGCATCGCTTCAGGTGTCGATCAAGCTCGGATCGCTCGAGATCTTGCGCGACGCCTCGATCAAGGGAGATACAATCTACTTCCCGCACGACGGGCCAAAGGAAGCGGCGGCCACGCTCCGCGAGGCGGCGTGGCTGCGGGGCGCCGACTGCCGCGCGCTGTTCGTGGGCGCGGACGATAAGCACGACAAGCTCGCCCAGTGGCTGCTCAAGCGCAACGACATCCAGGTTTGCCCGCATCGGTGCCACAATTACTTGGCGCTGTACGCTGCCATCGACAGGGCGATGGGCAACCCCAAGGTGACGGACGCGCCTTCATTCGACGCGGTGCGGAGCGAGCTCGGTGACATTGGTGCGGGACTGGTCGCCGATGCGCGCCACACAACCACCGGGCTTGCGCAAGCCGTCGAGGCCACCGCCCAGGCAAGTGCCGATGACGTGGCGCAGGTGGCCAACCCGGAGGAAGCGGACGCCTTCTCTCGCGTCGTGCTGCTGTCATCCTCCGACACGCTGCCTGACTCGGCGCTCTCCCGTCTCAACGCCTTCACCGCAGGGCTGACGTCGCGTGGCGGCTCCGATCATCTCGACCCATCCGCCGACGCCGCCGAGGGTGCAGCTGATGCAGCTGCAGACGGCGCAGCTGATGCGGATGCAGCTGACGCAGCCTCGGCGGCGTCGCAAGCTGACGCAGCCGCGAGGAACGAGAGCGCCGGCGATGTCCACGTGCGGCGTGCCGCGCGTTCGGACGAGCCGCTCTCCGAGTTCAACGGCAACGGGCTCAACTTGATGCGCATCTTCCGCGCCATCTGCCCGCTCCTGCGCTACCAGGAGAGCACGCGAGACGACGGAACGAGGCACATCCGCTCGTGGCCGCTGCAGGCCAACGGCACGCTCTCTGCCGCCGACACTCAGCAGGCGGTGGCGCGACGAGTTCGGTGAGCGCTTCAAGCGCGGCGAGGACGTTCCACTCCCGCCGCTGAATCAGCGGCAGCGCGCCGCCGGCCGCAGGCTCCTGCCCGTCCTCCGTCGGATGGGCGCCGCTCAGCGTGATGGAGATGCGAGCCGCACACGCAAGGAGTACTCAGAGGCGGTGGCGCTTGTGCACCGGATGCACTACCTGCTCGTGGGCGCGCCAGGCACCGGCAAGAGCTTGCTCCTACGCGCGCTGCTGCAGCTAATGGACGAGGAGGACCTGGGCTGCGCCATCTTCTCGGCGTACACCGGCGTCGCGGTGACGGCGCTGCCGCTGCCCGCTGCCACGTACTGCAAGCTCACCGGCATCCCTGGCGACGCGGGCTCGACGCTCGAGGATCTGCCGGCGGCTTCTGACCGAGCGCAGCGGACGTTCAACGCAATCGTGGGCGACGCGCACCGCCTCATCATGATCGTGCTGGACGAAGCCTCGTTCCTTGGCACGCCGCACCTGCACCACCTCGACCAGCGGCTGCAGCTCTCATCTCTCTCCAGTACTCGAACTTCGATATCTCTCTCGACTCTCGTCTCTCGACACTCGACGAGGCGAGGCGCAGGCGGGACAACCCTGTGCGTGACGCCTTCTGTTCACGACGCAACGGCGCGGTCGAGCGTGTCGCGCAGGTAGGACACCCGCGCCTCCTCCCCTGGCAGTTCGTCCCATCGCCATTGCGGCACGGACACGAGGGTCGTACCCAGCAGGCGCAGCTGCCGGTGCTTGAGTCGCGTGGCGCCCGACGGGCGGCGGCCGCACAGCCGTCCCGGCCCATCGCCCTCTACCACGACCTGCGCGGGAAGGCAGCCTTGCGCATCCAAACAAGGATATATGGCCCAATCTCGGCTCATCTCGGCTCGTCGCGTTGCCTGCTCTCCCCTCCACTCTGCTACCCAGTCGAGGGCGTGCCTCGTCTCGCCGTCCACCTCGTCCTGCATCGGGTCCGCCTCGAGCAGCTCGAGCGCCACGCCGATTTGCTGTTGCAAGCGCGGCAGCTCTCCGAACTTGCTTGTGTGGCACCCGGCGATCACGCTCTTGGGACCGATACACTCGGCAGGGTCGGGGCATACGGTAGGCCTGGCGGGCGGGCGGCACGGGTGAGTAGGCAGTGGAGGGGGAGAGGTCAAGGACTCTGAGGTGAGTAGGCAGTGGAGGGGGAGAGGTCAAGGACTCTGAGGCGTCGTGGCCGCATGCGTTCGGTTGAACTGGGGCCGAACGGGAGATGCCTCACCGGGGAAGGGCCTCCATCACGCCGCGCTCGTCCGAGACCCACGTGCGCCACTGATGCAGCAGGTGGCATTCGTCCTGTAGGGAAATCCAGAGAGGGCTCAAGGGTAGCTCCAGCCGAAACAGCTCTTCCGCGCTGTATCTCGACATGAGTTAGCTCGTTCTCTGCCGCGTTGAGCACCTGCAGCGAAGAATGGCGGCAGGACTTCTGAATGCTATGAAGATGAGCATCGCACTTTCAAATGCTACGAAGATGAGCAGGGCAATGCGGTGACTATCCACGCAGCATGTACAACGCCGCGCACCGCCGCGAAGCTGCTTCCAAACAGCCCATTTGTGGGGAGGTGGTCCGCCACGGCGAAGGACCACGCCATGTTCACGAGCGCCCGCCTGCCGATATAAGGTGGGGTGATTGTGGCGTGTGAGAATGAGGTGGGAAACGGGTGGCCAACCTGCCCAGCTCGTGAAGCTGCGGCGCCGCTTCCTCCGCCACGGCGCGGAACAGAGCAGGCACGGGATGTCCGGCGGTCGCAAAACCGAGCGCCGCCTCAACGAGCGTTTCGACATCGATCTGACCGGATCGCGGCGAGATGGCGGCCGCAACGGAGTCCAGGAACGACTCAGACACCGGATGGCGCATCTGCGTGGTAGCGGCAGCGTGAGTGGGTCGGTGAAAGTGAGGGAGTCAGTCGATGGAATGTTGCACCACGCCAAGCGACTTGACC